TGTGTTTGTGAAAATCCCTCCATGTATATACTTGCACCTTGTTCCTATTGATCCTCTTAGTTGTCCATTGTTAACTTTTTGAGTACATTTGAATTGTTAATATTTGTATTTATTATAGCTTTCGCTTTTATTACACCTTCACTAATCCCCCGTGTTTCTTCCCGAACTGCACTTATGTTGTTTTACTTTATACTAAGTCTGGGTGGCAGCCATTTTGGTTTGTTCCTGCTTTTGATTGCTTGACCTGTGTTGACTGGAATTGTGCATTTTGGTTGTGAATTGAAGCACTCTACCAGAATTGAAAACACTCTGTGTTATAGAGCGACCAATTATTACCTTTTGAACGAATCTGTACGTGATCTATCCAAACAGGATAGAATAACATTTATTTGTGTTGATTGTTTAGATTTGATCAATTGAACAATTATTGGTTGGATAGCTGAGTGGTTATATTTGTTTAGAACCGTCACCTTACCCAATTACTTTGTTTTGGTTTCAATCGGGCGAGGGCGCGTATCTAACTCATCCAGACAGCTGTCCTTCACTCCAAACCGTAGTTTGGATCTTACACAGGTGCTACTAGCATTACTTAGTTCATGTGACTCATCCATTTTGTTCGGCACAATCTGGGGTTCGCATACAGGTAGTTAGTGCTCTCGATTTGAAACGCGTTAGCTTCCTTGTTCTGTTTATCTGAATGAGCATTATGTGAATGGACAGGCAACCTACATGCACAGGGTATTCTAAGTTGACAGCCTTGTCCCCCTATGTTTTGTCCTTCTTCCAGTTTGCCTCTGTGCTTCATCCTTGCATCATATGGCCTGCCCGGATGCATGCGGATTCCAGTTGATAACAGAGGTCTGTTGGAGCGAAGTGCTACGAGAGTGGCAGTCGCCATATAAGAGGATAAGAAGGTTATCTTCACGAGCCGGGATCTACAATCACTGTGCCGTCCTGGCTAATCACACCACTTGTAGAGTCAATATATTCTTGAGCCTCAAGCACTTCTTTATGAATTTCCACTGTAGAAGATCATAGTCTGCATAAACAGGGTCCGTGTTTTCTGGGATACCTTGTAAAATAATGTTACTACAGCAAAAAACATCTCGTGAGATTCCTTAGGGATGTTCCTGATTCTATTGCGCTCAGAATATGGTCTGTATATATGGTTATATGCATTTACTAAAATTTATAGACAGATGCACCTGATGGCGCATACCCGTACCGTTAAAAGACACGTCGGCATCAAAATTACCCCCTGCTGACTGGTTGGACAATCCTGCAGGTCGATTATACAGACAATTCACTAGCTGATTTTCTTACGTGAACTGGGCTGTTCAGCATTTTCAGTGGTGACATTCGATCTCGTATAACCCTGTTTGCATGGGTCCATCTGCCTACAGTAAGAGACCATGAGACCACAGCAGCTAAGTTTCAGCATACCCTCATTATTTTCGCGGCATGTCCCATAAATATTACTTTGTTGAAGACCCTCTAAACTTTACTGAGCGTCTTTATGTGTTTATACTTTTCGAGACTGCCTTTTATCAGGATTGCTGCTGATGTTTTCCCAGACGTGTCAAGAGAATTTTGATGTTGCTCAGTAAATCCTCAGCATTCATGTTGCATGTGCCACATACCAGACTGCTATCTGACTTGCTAGGTTTGTAGTAAGCAGCTGCTGTACGGTCTGTGCATGCTTCGTGGAACCAACCTTTGTATTTGTCACAATGTATACCACAGGTGATAGCAAAAGAGCTCCTAGGTCGCTTACATGTGTTTTTATCAATGATCTGAGTTGCTAAACAAATTTTTGCAAAAATTTACGACCATGGAAAAACAATACACTAAAAATGAATAAAACGGATAAAAATGGTCCGTATAGAAACTTAAGATATACTAAAACAAGCTTCGATATGAGAAACCGTAAAAGCCGAATGGTAAGCTATGGCAAAGCCAAAGTCGGAATGGACAACGTCGGGTATGAAAATTTCATGAGAAGACATGGATTGGGACAAAGGAATGGGAATGATGACAGATCTGCAAATTTATATGCATTCAACAAGATAGTAAAAGGCGGCATTATATTCTCCCACAAACGGATGCAAAAAGCTGCATGGCATATGAGGCATATTTTTAAAATTCAATGCCAGGTTTAAATTCAATCAACTCAAATTTTCATTCCATCTTACATTTAAACAAACACTCATATACTTCAACTCTAGAACGAACTCCATATCATCTTCCTCCCTTGCATTTTTCGTCTTCATTATCGCCCATCATATTCTCACACTTGTTTCGAACATAGGTCTTGATTTCAGAATTACCCTGAGCACCTCACCATGGTTTTCGCACAATTGTTTCAACCTCAATACTTTGCCACCTATACATCTTCGACTAATCACTTCCCGATCACGCCTCAAGAAAACCTAGGAGTTCCTGCAATCAGGCGTCCAGCTAAATGTAGGACAAGCACACGATCTAACACGACTAACAATACGATTTCCAGCCTTTCGATTTTATCAGTAAAACCGAGCTGAAACATCCTATTGACAACAGGCGCTGGAATTTCAAATGTTCGGATGTTTTAGCTTTACAGATCAATGTACAGCATGTGGACTGTGAAGTTCATCCTTAACGTGATGTGGATGCTCATTGAGGTTTCGTACTGCACACGATCTTATGTGCTACAAAGTAGCCTGTCCCAAAAACAGTTCCCAAAAATTACAAGCAAAATACAGTCACCAAGAATAACAATCTTTGAATGCCAAGACGCAAAAGGCAAAACTGGGCGAAATGTAAGGCAAGCTTAAGCATCAAATAAAGCTAGACGATAAACTTTTCTTCAGTCCGAAAACCTCATTCTGTCATGCAGCCTCCCATCGACAAGCCAAAACCATAGTTTACCAGTTGTCTGGTCTTAATGGTCCAACTGGCAATGATAATGATGTCGCCGACCTTCTGACAGAAAAGTATTTCCAAACAACCATTTCATACTAACTAAATCGACGAGAGCTTCACCTGCACCTAAACAGAACTCTCAGAAGTGAACCTAAGCACTGACTTGGTGTGTCAGAAACTACATCACCTAAACAAGGACTTTTCTCCGGGCACAAATATGGTCCATTCTGTTATACTGAGTGAAGCAGCTTCAATCTTGACAAAGCCGCTTAGTGTGATGTTCTTACATTTGCTAAGTCGAGGCACAGTGCCAGACTGTTGTAAACTGGCTCACACTACACTAACTTTTAAGTCAAGCTAACGAACGGCAGCACTTCTCTCAATACTCTCAAGAATCATGGAATGCGTGTTGTGTGACGGTCCACGTGACTATTTACCATCCATAAACTTTTCATTCCAACAGTTCGGTTTCAGAAGCGATCCTCCTCGTATAATCAACCTGCTGACTGAGGTTGACAGATGGACAACGAACCTTGATCACAAAGGGAAGGTTGATGTCACATACTTTGACTTCTTAAAAGCTTTTGATAAGGTCAATCATATATGCATCATCAATAAGCTCAAACTATTAGGTATCAATTGACTTCATATCCAAATAACCGACAGCGTAAACTTCCCTATTCTTCAGATTATGGAATGACTTAGTGGAGCCCACCAAATATCAGTACCAAGGGCTTTTCTTTCCTTAACTTATAAAAATGACCTTCCTCAATAAGTGTCTCCCGACCTACTGTTTCGCTCTGACGAGGTGAAATTCGGAAGAGAAGTTTGTAACCAAGATGGCACTTCAGGAAGATCTAACTCGACTTCAAAGTGTAAAATAGTCATCTGAGACGTGTTACAGGCCATAAATATAACTTTGGTAACTCCTCTCTAGAGGTATCCCAAGTTGAAAAAGATCTAGAAGTGTTGGTGCCACATCATCTAGAGCCATAAGTTAACTGTACTGAAAACGCCTCTCGAGCAAGCCTTGAGTTGTTAACATTGAGGCTCATTTTCGGCCAGTTTGATAGTGAAACTTCCCACTTAATCCTCAATAGCTTTATTCGCCCCCGTTTCGAGTATGGAAATATAGTGTTCGAAGTTTGTTATAAAGACAATAACTTGTATCACACTTAAATTAACTTCTCAGTCTTGTTTTATCTTCACTATGCATATATGACTCACAAATATTGATATTTGGTTATCCTTTTCACTTAATTGAGACTTTCATAGCACCACTCCAAACTATGACTGCACAAACATTTATTCCAGCATCGCATCTTTCTGCAATAATAAGGTATTTTTGTTAAATATTTTCTATTTTATTTTACTAATTTAAAGATACATACATAGTCGTTTATTGTTATTCTGTGTTCATAAACACGCCTATTAAACTATTTGCCTATTTCACGTCTCTTTTATTTCTGTTCCCTTTTTTCTTCCTTTCCCTCTTTAAACTCAATCCAATATTCTTCTCAATTACATAAGACCTGATTTGTTATTCTTCTATTATTATTATTATTATTCTCTTTTTCAATATGGCAAATATAATGCTAACATTATTGAAACTTGTGTAGTATTCCATTTTTGAAGAAACATGAAATAGTTTCTTCACAACACCTATGTACCATAAGATGTCTGTGAATAATAATAATGCATATATAGAGGGTCGTCTGATCTAATCTGGCTAGCGATTGCAGGGGTTGTTCAGCACGGCATTCCCACTCGTGATCTGATGAGGATGCATGACCGAGCACCTTGAGTTAGATGATCCCATTAAAACTAATGTGGTCGGCATCCAATGTCGAAAACTTAAAGAGCTATTTATTTTGGGGATTTATTTACCACTACACTTCAATATGGTTTACAGATTATTTCTCTTTCACTGTCAAATATACCCAGGTCCCTACTTGGAGACATCGGTGATCCACTGCTACTAGATACGAAGACTCGTTAAGTGAAAGCTTCTTCTACTCTGTTCTGAATCTTCTGTAACCTTTTGAATCAGGTGATTGAATGTTGTACATTGAACTTTAAATTCCAAGGCTTCGGGACCATTTAAATTTACAGGTCATCGCATTATGAGTGGCATAGTTGGGTACGTTTCTAAGTATAGTCTGCGTAATGGTTATGTGAAAATTCATACGTGACTTGAATTTCGCTCCTCATGGACTTTTTTAATTTCTGTGCTATACTAGACTTTCGGTTTCCCGGTGAATAATCTGTAGAATGAGTCATTAAACCTGATTCACTAAGTCCTCGTCGATATTCTTGAATTGAATGTGTGAAACATCAGTATCAAAGTTCAGGAAAATGCACTTCATATCGATTGAAGTGGGGACAGCCTTAGCATCTTTCTACCCTATCGTCCCTAATGTGTGTGCTTACTGCAGTCCATTTAAGTAAATAGGACTAATAAATCACCATATTTTCTATAGATAATATTTACTTCCATGCAGTATTAATTCCCTAGCTAGAACCCTTGCGAATCCATATTTTCTTTAAAAGTACACATCAACCCCATTTATGTATTCATTAAAACCAGGTTTAAATACATTCGTCTCCTTTTACTTTTCTACTATTATCCTGACCCTTCTATTTTTAATTTCATTCATGTATTATATGGTGCAGTAACCTGAAATAACGAACATCAGCGCTAGGTTTTACGACGTATGGCATGTCAAAATGCAGCTTTTATTAATTCATCAGTACAAATATTAGAGACACTAGGTATTGGGCCTTTAAAATAAACCTCGACCAGATAATTTGTGTAGATGGAGAACATAACCAACCATTTCTAGTTCTATCACTTCCTAATTCCAATCAAACACCATCAATGTGGAGCTCCGGCGCGATTGTGATAGATTCCTAGTCCTCACATAATATCTTTAATCATTAAATGTTGTTACTGCACGAACCTCAACCAAGCAATCTGCGTCTACTCACATGACTTAAATCGAAGTTCAGTGAATTCGTATACCAATGTCATATTTTGGTCTGCCTAGCCTCAACTCTCTCCTAACCTGTATCTACCGCCATTAAGTTTCGCTCGATGGTTAAGATTGGATATCTCGTACGTTGGACATTTTTAATTCTTACTTCTTTAAGCGACACCATTGCGAGAAGGCAGTAAGTGGAGCTCCCCTGGGATTGGGTTATAATTCGTGGTCATATGAGAGAATTTCGAGAGAAAGGGTAGACTTGGTACCCCATGCCTTATCAGAGTACTAAAAGGCATTTTTATAATTAGCCTTTTGATTTTTATTTCATGATGTCATGTCTTTTTGACACTATCCTAGGGTGGTTCTAGTAGCTGTTTGTGTGCTTCGTGGATTATCAGTAAAGCATGTTCTTATCCATAAAAAGGTACAAGCGACCAATGTGAAATGTGGCATCAGTCCGTAAGGTTACTGACTTAAACTGAGTTATGTAGGCTGGTGCAGACTATCTGGTTGGGGTTCACGCGATCGACGGTTAGAGGCTTTAGGTCGCATGACTTGAAATCGTTCACAACGTTACGTTTGCATTCACTTCCGATCTTAAATTTCAGTATTCCTCCTTATGTACCCTCCTACTCCGTCCTTCTGAACTCTGTTGTCGATCCGCAGTCTTCCTCATTGTCGTTGCGGCTTCATTATCTCAATCTTTGATATTCATCTTGTTATTTTCGTCTCATGCTATTGCTAGGAAGACGCACTCATGTTTGTAGAATAAAATCTTGGACTTTTTTTGCAGATCAACTCGTGGGCTTGGGAGCAAGTATGGGCTTGGTGTCAGTTCTCTGGGATCATCCAGCGACGTCGTTCAAATACGTTTGCAGGGTGATTCCTATCCTAGTAGCGATTCTTTGGGTTTGTCCGGAATGGATATGTTCGGTGGACTATCTGGTTATGGTGTTTCTTCCGGTGTACCCTATTATGTAGACTCAGTAGGTGGAAGTGTAAGTCTAGGTGGCGGAATGTTGGGATTTGACGATGAACTTGGTCACTCAGGACTAGATAATAGTGAACTTGTCCAGTTGTTGGGAGGCAGTCAAGCTATCGCCCAGCTTTCAGATAGTCAACTAGAAGAACTTGGTCGTGCACAGTTTACTATCGTGGATCCTAGGACTGACAGTGAGCTGGGTAAGTTTATTAGATATATTTTGTTAAGCATCACATAATTTACTCGTCCTATCCTACATTAGTAATCCTCTTCATTAGTTAAATTGCTGTATTGTCTAGAATTTTTTAAACTTGTATCACGACAACTAGACAAATCTAAGGAATAATTTTTGTAACATTTAATTGGTGGTTTGTCCCCTTTGATTGTTCAAATTGCTTGCTCAAAACAGATGTTTACCAGAGTCGTTCTTAGCGAGAAAGTTTTATAGTTGAATCGTGCAATCACAAAATGCTTACAATAATCAACAAGTATTACTGACCTCACCATTAATGAACTTTTATTAAATTAACTCGAATTCAGCTTGCTCAAATCACCCCATTCATATCTTATATTTTATTGGGCTGAAGATATTCGGAGTCCCAACCATTGTTGCTACCTTGACGTGGTGGTCGGGCTTGCCTATTGTGATGAAGCAACCGAGCTATACCGGCTGGAACAACCGTCCCTCAAGGTCCTACCATGTCAGACAGGTCGGTTGAAGAGCGGTAAGACTAAAAGCAACAAACCTAAGGTTCGAAGGCGAAGTCGTACTGCTGACTGTACAGAGGTGTGACAAAAGTAAGGTGTTTCCTTCAGACAACCAGCATAACAGCGATGCTGCCTTCCCACAAGGAGGGGTGGGGTTAGAAGAGGTCGACCCTAAAAATACATACCTCGCCTTATCCCACGGATATCCGTCTTCGGCGGTAAGGTCCCAAAAAGTACGGAGCTAACACAAAAATTACCCATAAAAAGGTCGTGTGTGACCAGTGTGGTCATTCACTTGACCTCACCTCGGCAAAACGAAGAGCGAACGAGATGCACCCTCCGTGTATCCGGTGACTCGACGGCTTGCTCTCGTGGACTGGCAGGAGTAGGCATAGCACTAAGCATGAGGGTGGAACAAGCGCTGTTAGAGTGGATCCCCGTTAGCATTCGTTTATGTGCTGTTCGGCTAAACGGCTCCGTAAGAACTCGGAAGGATAAGGACACACGTCGTTGCCTTTTTGTCGTTTCTGCATACGCTCCCACCGACTGCAGCTCAGTTGAAGTGAAAGATGCATTTTACAGAAAGCTATCTGAACTTCTTCAAAAAGCTAAACGTTCAGACATAGTGCTCGTAGCAGGTGACTTTAATGCCCAGATAGGTAGTTTAAATCGAATAGAAAGGCATTTAGGTGGGTATTTTAGTATTCCGGCACAACGAACAGATAATGGTGATCGTCTGCTGCAGCTATGCTCAGACAATCGTTTATTTTTAGCAAACAAATTTTAAGCATAAGGAGAGACATCGTCTAACATGGCGACCCCCTATACCAAACCAACGATGAACTTAAATAGACCATATTGCCATCAGTCATCGTTGGAGAGGGTCGGTAGAAGATTGTCGCTCATTCTGGAGTACCTGCTTGGACTCCAACCACGCCCTAATACGGGCACGCCTCTGCTTGCGCCTCACTGGACGCAGGAAAGCCACATTAAAAAGACCCATTAGAACTGAGTTGAGTAACGAGAAAACCAAAAGTAGGTTCCAGGAACAACTGAAGTCACACTTAGGTAGTTCTGAAAACGAGGCTGACCCAGATGTTGCTTGGAAAGATATACAAACAGCTGTGGAAACAGCAATGAAATCTATTAGTGACTTAAACCACAGAGTTGCAAAGAACCGGTGGATTTTTTCAAAGTCTATCACACTGATGGATTCTCGCAAACTCGTCCCATCAGGTTCCGAACATGATGAAGAGCGACAACAAATCAGATCTAGGTTAAGAAAAAGTCTAAGAAACGACCGTGAGCAGTGGTGGACAACGAAAGCAAAAGAGTTGGAAAAGGCGGCGGCTATAGGGAACACAAGACAGCTCTACAGACTAATAAAAGAAACTGGAATAAATAAGTCAAATGTAGGTCAGACTATTTCGGAAAAAAGACGACACCCTCATCTGCTCTCAGTCCAGAAGTTTAGAACGATGGGCGGAACATTTCAGAGAACAGTTCAGCTGGCCTTCAGCTACTCTACAACTACCCTCCATTCCCAGACAGTGTGAACTCTAGCAGAAGTTCAAAAGGCTATAGTTAATCTGAAACGAGGAAGGGCAGGTGGTCCAATTTTAGCGATTAGGTTGACTAATATTTTAGCTAAGATCTGGGAGTTAGACGTTATTCCATCTAACTGGTCACAATCACTTATCGTCCCAATATATAAGAGAGGGTTAAAATCATCTTGTGACAACCATAGAGGGATTAGCTTAACTAATATAGTATCTAAAATACTAGCCTCGATAATTATCAGACGCCTAAGACTCGTGAACTGCAAACACGAGAGAACCAAGCTGGCTTCAGACCTGGTTGTGGCTGCATCGACCACATATTCACCATTCGTCAGGTTCTAGAACACAGGCATACTTATCGGCGACCGACAGTGGTGGTGTTTCTTGACTTTAAAGCAGTATTTGACTCTGTAAACCGCGAGATTATGTGGCAGTCTGTCATTGAAAGGCGTACCTCAGAAGTACATAAACCTTGTGAAGGCTCTTTACTCGAACACTACTAGTCGAGTGAGAGCTTATGGCGAACTGTCATCTGCTTTTGCAACCTCAAGTGGTGTCCGTCAAGACTGTCCACTTTTTCCATTTTTTAAAATTTCATCATAGACCTACTGACGGAAATAACGTTCTCGTCGACTGAATTCTCGGGCATTAATGTCCTACGAGGAGGTTCACTTATTGAGTTAGAATACGCGGATGACATAGTCCTGTTTGGTGAAGACGCTGACAAAATGCAGAGTCTTCTGGTAGCACTAAGCAACAATGCCAGAATGTTTGGAATGCGCTCTCTCCCTCTAAATGCAAGTTGTTGCTTCAGGACTGGTCTGCGTCAACACCTGATCTAAGGATAGGGAGTGAAGTAGTGGAACGCGTTGACAACTTCACTTATCTTGGAAGTCTGATCAGCCCTAATGGGTTGGTGTCTGACGAAATCTCAGCACGGATTCGAAAAGCTCGTTTGGCTTTTGCCAACTTACGTCACCTTTGGCGAAGGCGAGATATCCGTCTATCAATAAAAGGACGAGTATACTGCGCGGCAGTTCGTTCTGTTTTAATTTTCGGCAGCGAAACATGGCCCTTAAGAGTAGAAGACACCCGTAAGTTACTAGTATTTGACCACAGATGCCTTAGAAATATTGCTGGCATCTGCTGGGATCACCGGGTAAGTAATAGTGAGGTTAGACGCAAGGTATTAGGGAATGATGGTAAATCAGTTGATGAGATTGTGAATCTCCATCGACTGAGATGGTTGGGCTGCGTATTACGTACGCCTAAACACCGATTACCACGACGTGCAATGCTGGCTATTGTTGGAGATGATTGGAAGAAAGTTAGGGGTGGCCTAGTCCTACGTTGTAGTTGACTGACTGACCATCATCTTCAACATTCTCACGGGTTAGCTCACCAGATGTGTCTCATATCCCTCGTCTTAGATTGCTTATATCTTTTTCAACCTCAATGAGAGTTGAAGGACTTACATCAATTTTCCATTTAGGATTGAAAATGAATTATAATCCCATATGTTTCCGAGATAGTCTAACTAAAATCCAGATTTTATTACCCGTTTTCTTAATTGGCCTAAACAGTTGTCTAGTGTTACTTATCGTCACAGCCTTCTCCATCTCTTCAGTTTTCGCTGCCGACCACTGCTCACGATCATTGCGTAGGCTTTTTATCAGCCTACATTCAAGCTACTTCCACTCTTCATTGTGTCCGGAGCCAGGCGGGATGAGTTTTCGAGCATCTGTCAGTTCAGTAGGCCCCACTGAGTTGCTGTATCATGTTTGGTGTTTAGTATATGTATTCTTTTTGTCGTCGTAGTTGTTTCACACCGATCATGCTACACATATGAATATATTCACCTTTTACATCCATTTGCAGCAAACTGTCCTCTAAGTTTATCCGTGGAAGAAGATGATCGACCTTTAGATGAAGATGAGATCTTGTGTGTAACCAAAGCAAGATGCCTGGATCGTGTTCGTGTCCTGTCTGTTCCAGCTTCCGGATATACAAGTATAAATACTGGTGATCTTGCCAAATGCATCAATCTGCGTGAATTAGATTTGTCAGAGAATGCATTACGCGTATTCCCCAGACGTCTGCATTTACCGCAGTTAACAAAACTCAGCATTACAGGGAATAGATTTATACACCTACCGTTGTTTGAACAATTTCCTAAACTCATTCGATTGAATTTAGACGACAAACTGAAACAAGTATGTCTGGTTTTTATTCTTTGTAATATGTATTTAAATTGTCAGAATAAACACTTGTATACTAATTATAAGTATGGCACTACTACTTCTACCACCTAGTAGTAATAATGATAATAATAATACCTTACTCCGGCAACAAATGTTTCCATCGGAAGGAATCTCCAGTACGAAAATACACATTATTGCTATACGTTCCTCCCTAACACGCATTTCGATTACAAATATTCAGAAAATATATTTGAAATAAACTTTTAATATTAGCGATCATTTGCAGTTTACCTTCAATCGCAAGCATCTCCTATGAATTACTCAACTTGGTTTCTTTTAATCTATAAATTATTGGATGTATGAACTCCAATCTAATCGCCCCTCGTTTGTGGATTTTAGCATCATATTATTTTGTAAGCGTACTGTAGTAGCCTGTAAGTACATTTTGCAGCCAATACATATACTAACTAGTCAATAAATATAAAATAAGAAACTTTCTTGCAACATTTACACATTTGAAAACAGTTACCTCAAATATTTATGCAGGCGGCCAAATTGGCTCTTGAAATATAGATAACAGACAAGTATTATGGTAAAGTATCAGAAAGGCGAGTAACAATTCAAGTACTTTTTATTGATGGTTACCAACGAATGAATAGACAAATGTGGAGGTAATAACATGTAGTCATTGAACTGTAAAATCAGAATTCAATTCAATACCAGTGAAGAAAAGTAAAAAAATTCCTGCTACTAATCGACTGGCATATTTAAACGGGTAATAGAGTCACTCCTGATTTTAAACTGTACGAAAGAAACATTATTAAAAAGATAGGCGAATGTTTCAACAAATTTAGAAGAAATTTATTCGGTGTCTCAATATTGCAAACACAAAGGCTCTAATATATTGGACAGATAATTTGAAGGTGGTGTTGGTATGACATCAACTACTTAATCTTACATATGGTTCGAAGTCTCATTTATTTTCACGCAGACTGTGGATTCGAACACAATAGTGCATTGTACTCCAACCCTAAAGAATTAGCGTGCATCTGGCGCATATATATTGGCGCTCTCTTGTACCAATATTCATGTGTCCAAATAAATAAATAAACGATGAAACGCATCTGAATGCGTTGGCACCGAAATTTCACCAACCATAATTAATTACGGGATCACTTTCTGCGTTTTATTTTCTAGTATCAATACAAATCATATACCAAACGTTCGAAACAAAACTTGTTGTTCATTGGTCATTTGATCAAAGGTGATAATAAAATGAGCTTTTTCTGTTACACTGGTTCTGCCCCTTCGAATACTATATATGGTATATAACATTTTGTCCCACGTAGTTCCTTAACAATGTTTGATATACATGATCTTAATAAACAAACGCCATCAAAGTTACATCTTACGGAAACTGGCCTGAACACAATATTGTTGAAAAACTATATGAGAGATATACTCGGGTAAACGTAATAACGTACAAATATCCTATAAAACAGATGTGTTTGGATATACCAAATAAGTTGTCATTGGATAGGTCATACAAGCGTGCTTGTTAGTTTGCGATTTCCTGTGTCTTTGTTAACATCTAATTTCAAAAAAAGTCTTAATAGTCTCCTAAATAAATGACAATACTTAGTGCTTAATGTTAAGTTGGTTTCTCCTAACAATCATATGGTCATGTTACCCCTTTAAATTTTTCTATTGTTAGGTTGATAAAAAGGAATATTTAATTATCCGGATTATGTCATCCACTGTTTATCATATATTTCATCATCTATTTCCTAATGACTTGTCTTTTTTTGTAGTTATTAAACCCTCAAATGTTGGTCTATTTTTGTCCGAAACTTAAGTATATTAATGGTATATATTTTGAAGAAATGCTAACCGATTTCACAGTCCGTATTATTCAAGAAGCACGGTCAATAATGGAACCTATTGTAAGTGATTGTTTCATGGTATAAATTACTATTATTAATCATGTATTGAACAAGTAGTTCTAGATGAACACCCGTCTCTTTAATTGAATCCATGATCACAAATTATAACGATCTTCACTTACCTATTATTCCGAAATAGCCAGAATCATAGATTGAAATGGTTACCTCAATTCTTAAAAAAGGTATCGTTAATTTAAAGTAAGAGGGAGCAGACCTTAATAGGTTAACTCCGGTGATCTTTAAGGGTGATGATTCGATTTTTACAGTGAGATAAACCGAGATATGAGCTAGAGTTTGAAATTTGGACGTAATCTTTTCTTACAAGTTTCGATCTTCCAGGTCTATGAGAAAAGACAGATCCTCTTGCGATGCCCACAGAGGGATCAGTTTGGCTAATATGGTGTCTAAAATATCATCCGACGCCTAACACACCATGTTTTTTGGTATAGGAGTAGGTTAGAAGAAAGGGGCTGCTATACCAAGACGTAGCGTCAGTTCATAAAGTCACTAACTTTTGGACTGAGCGGTGTTGGTACATGCAAACTACCAGCTTTGACCCCGCACGATTATCACAATTAATGGTTGTAGACTGTGACAAAGCTCGAAATCGATCGCCGGAGTGCAGATTCATTCTTTATCTTCCCTTAGATTTTGAGTGTTCAAAATTATCTTATACTCCTTCATTCTATGAAGAGATTTTTTCTTCTTGAATCATATTGTGTATCCTTAATCTTTTCTGGTACTACTTGTACTGTCGCTTCTTCCACTACTCTGACACTTATCTCGATACTTTCATCTGGCTGTGATGGTGCATGATGTGACAGCTTGGTCTTATTAAGTGAGAAAGCATTATATGTAAGAACCTGTAAAAATAACTCAATTTTTCTGTAAAGTTGATTAGTGGCTTGTGTACTGACAAAAATATGCTCTGAGCTTAAGAGTATGATGTTTACCTCAATATCTCTTTATGCTGTTAATCATATGCTCTCATGTTTCAGATAAGATCAAAATGGGAAACAGACTTTGCTGATCAGTATCCTTTTGTTAAAAATCGAGAAGAACGTATGTCATTGATTGAAAACATGATGGAGCATATAAAAGAGCGTAATCTTCTGGTTGGTGAAGCCTTAAACAAGTATAAAGATTTATTGGTAAGTGTGATTGTGTTTTTCTCATATGGTTCAGTGTTTTTTTGTGCAGTTTTAGTAATTTAATATACATCTTTAATAGCCATGAGTTTCATATCGCTAAAACAGTAGTCATAGTTTTAGTCATCATATTTCGAAATAAGTGTTTCTAGTTTATGCCGCGTGATGACATTTCTGGACCAAACTATATCAGTTTTATTACGGAACTGATGTATCCCTTCATTACGATTTCGAGAAACATTTATACCGAGGATAATTTATGATTCCCTATTTTTAGTGCATTCTTCTCTCTTTTGCATCGTAACAGAAGTATTTATCCATTCTATTAGTACTAACATTGGTCGAACATTCATCTGCTTAGGAATTCGAAAGTTTTGTTGTTTTTACTTATTAGTAAAAATAGTAGTATGATATTTTTAATATATTTTTTAGTGTTGCGTCTAATGTTATTAGCTATTTTTGTTGCCATTACTTAATATTTCCTATATAAGTAACTTTGCTTCTTTTTTAAACAGCAATAATGATATCTTGGTATTTATTAATTCTTCTCTCAGTGTCGTTTGTATCATGCTACGAATTTTAAGATAATTAATGTCCAGTTCTTGTTATTATTCATATAAATCAGTACTCAACACAGCGGTTAAATCATAAATTTGGTTTCATCCACTGTAATCAGTGTTTTTATCCTCACACATTAAATCAACATTTTAGTGTAACATGCCATTACTTATATAGTCGCCATCAACCCTATCACTTTTATTTATCTTCTTTCACTTGTTGCTTTGTTTTCTCTTCACTTACCCAGTTGTTTCGTTGTATCGATGAGTTTCTACGATCCATGATATATGATGCCACGGATAGGGAATTGTTGCATGCAGTTAATTCTCTGGATACTCCTAAACCAATTACAGATGTAGAGAATTCTACGGATGTCACTCATACTACTACGACTACTACTGATGTTACAAATAAATTATTTATCAAATCAGGTGAATCCACCGCTAATGAGAATCATACTTTGACAGAAACCATCACAAATAAAATGACTGATAACTATTTGACTGAATCGGTTGATGATGGCGCTGCTGCTAATGATAATGATGGGGATATTACTGGTGGTGCTAATATTACTTCTACCACTGCTATCACCAGTCAACATGAGAATATTGATTCATTACAGTTGCGTACAAAACTTTCTGCATGTGATTTAGAATCTGACGACATACAAGATGATGAAGATGATGATGAGGGGGAAGAAAAAGAAGCAGCTGCGCGAGCTGCAAGTTAGTTCCAAACTTTTGTTTATTTTTTTCCAGGTCTCTAATATATATAGTTCGGATGAATTATTCAAATCCAAAGTTCAGTTGTTTACCATACTCTTCATCTCTCTAGACACTTGGGATAAAAATAATGTTATATTATCCATCCTTCTGTTCCTTCCTAAAACGAATGAAAAAAATTTGTTTCTTTTAAATTTACCTGCTTGATGAAAGCAAAAATGGCATATCAACATCTCAAATCCCTTCTTGATTATGTTTCACTTTCGGTACTTTGCATCAGAGAGATCATTGATTGTAGCCTTGCTAGAACACGTAACTTTATTAACATGATTATGTGTTGAGAAATCATCCAGCTATGAGAAATACAGACATCTATAGCATAATTTATAAACCAATACCAAACCATTCACCTATCGGATATTATTTCAGTCGAATGGCACCAAGTCCGACCAACCATAGATGAGAAAGTGTGCACAATTATTACTTCACGGTTGCCGTCTCATTCAGTTTTAAGGAATTCGAACTAGCTTATGGTAATTCGGTCGAAGTACTTACAACATGTTTCTAGTTTCAGTATATCCCAATGTTGGCATATTACCTCGACTAATGAGCTTCAAATCATGAAGCAATCAACCTAGCAAAGGTCATTACTGACAATCATTAGGTGTTACTGTTTTTGGAAATAGAATCCTGGCTAGCTTTTTTTAGCATGATTATCTTTATGGTGAATGAAGTTTGTCTTTTTTTAGCAAAGCTATTAAAGTGTTTTGAGTTAACCCAACTTTCGGTGATTGTCTAGTTTCTCTTAATAAGTGTTTGTCACTTATAATTTTAATGGATATCTTTGATTTATCATTGTATGTATTATTGTTGAACATTATTCATTATAAGTAATATGATATATGTTAGTAATAATGATAGTAAGTAATGAATCGTCAATTGTTGTACATCTAAAGTGCATCACGAGTTCTTCGTTAGATAACGCATCAACCGATAAGATAAAAAGCTTTCCCTAGAAATTCCTTATTCAGATATGAAACCATAACTAACTGAAATTACGCATTCAATTATTTGGTTAGACAACTGAATTCCATTGCAACTCCTTTTTTTATGAGAATAAGATCTCCTGCCGTTACTTATGCAGTTTAATTGCAATGGATTAGTATACATGCTGAGTAGTTTTCGTCATATTAAATTCTATTCTCAGACTATTTCACAAAAGTTATGATTAGCCAATTTAATTAATGTAGGCAAAAACAAATAACCAGAAAGATCCTTATTTATTGAAAGTGTATCCATGATTCTTTTTGATAAGTGGACTATCAGATATTTTACGTGGACAATCTCAGTTTATTACATGGTTTTTTTATAAACTTGAATCCTCAAAAGTCTTCATACCTAACATGTAAATATAATGCCTCAGGAGTTTATACTTCTTACACATCCATCAATTCAACTATATTCATTAAAGTAACATGTTTAAATAGGTCCTTCATGGTTTTCGATATTCGGAATTTAAACTGTAATTGATTACAGTAAGTAGGTCGTTTCTTTCACAAACACGTTTTGTAATATTTTAAAACGGGTAATGTATGACTTTCTTTTCTTTCATGCTATAGATGAATGTGCGTTGTTCGATGCTACCGACGAATTGTTAGGTACTCATTTACCTGATTTACAATTATTAGCTCAAAGTGCTAATCAACTGCAAACTACTTTTTTTGTGGATTCAATGGGTCGTTTACATCAACAACAAGTACTTCTCACTCCGAACGGTGCTTGTCAGTTAGGTTTACAAACTAATGGACTATCAAATTATCAACTGCATTTGGGACGGTCATTACGTCAAGGTCGTTCTATAGTTATGACTGTTGTTCGTCCACGTGGTATCAGTGGACGACCAGTGGCCGAATTTTTGCCTGGCGAACTGCGTAACAAAGATTATGTCAAAGGTTATATGGCCTCTGAGATATATAAGAAGGCTGTCAAAGATACTTTAGGTCAAAAAACAACTCCTAAGAAGTGAGTATGATCTTGTAAAACTATATAAACTTGTATATGTATTATTTCGATAAGCATCATACGTTTCCTTGATATAACTATACTTTTCTTGAATGTGCCACAAAATTATACTACGATAAATTTATGCTTTTCTGTTCCGATGCTCACTCCATTTGGTGTATACGTTTTCACAGGAGATAAATATATACATTTTATCATACTATTTCTATTTTAGTACAGTTCAATTCAGATATGTTTTATTTTTAAGGAAGTTTAAGACTTTATCATTTGCAGATAGTCATCTAAAACTCATCAAACTCAAACGTAATGTATCCGGGCACTTATTAACAAAATAAGCATGCGAATTTAAGAAATGGATTCTCGTAAGATCTAAGTAGTTATTGTTCAGTGACTCAATAATAAAGACTACTACCGACCCTCTTGATTATTGATAAGGAGTTCCAGTAGATTAGTGGTTCGCGAAATCAAAATAACTGTTAACAATATGTATAGTAGTGTATGGTGAGACTGATAATACCTTGTCAAGTATAATTTTGTACAGAAATTGTTTGATAGATGCTAAGTAATATGGTCGTTTATTTCTCAGTTATTAGATAAACGTCTGTTGAAGAGAGTAATTTTATCCATTTAAATAACTTCAATTTCTTTGGCCATTGATTTGGAAAGCTACAAGTTGGAAAGTAAATATATAAATGTGATCAGACACATAGACTATTTTGTTGTTTCTGTTTTTCTTTCATAACACATTAATGTATATATAGTATCACCCGGTGATTGAATGAATCAGCATCAGTAGCACTTTTGTTTCTATTGTATTCCTTCTTGACTTGTTCTCTGATCATGCATCTTTCTGACTATATGGTTGAATGTAATCTCAATAGCTAGCTTCTTACAATAGTAATATCTCCGAATAGATCATCGTAAATCTTACGTACTTTAATACTAGGTTCTACTTGTTAAGTCGAGGGATATATACTATATTAGGTTGACAGTTAATCATTTCCTAATGTATCTAATTTGAATAAACATTTTTTGATCTGGTGATATTTTAAAAAACGTATCTGTAAATGCTTGATAGACGTACTGGTACTGGTAAAATTCGGAAATCCGATCAAATTAATACATCAACAGGGGAACGTCCTTGGCCTGGATCGACGACAACTAGTACGATTCCATTAGGCGAACTGAACACTGAATTGGGTAATACAGGAGCACCTACCAAAAGAGTAACTTGTACATCCAACCAGATGGCGAGTTCACGAACCGGATCAAATCGGCCGAGTAAAGTCGACTTTGATGTCGGCGAAGACACAGGTGGCGCAACAGGCGGTCTTCCTCCTCGACCAAAGAAACGGAAGTCTATGGGAATGCATAGGTAACGTTATTTTAATTGGTAACGATTCCATTTTTACCTACTATATTTATTGAACGTGCATTGTAACAGTAGATCTAATGCCTTTTACTAAAGGATTTTATCAACATTAACTGATGACCCTTTTAGCTCACTCATGATATCATCTACCAGCGCTACAACCTTCATTCAGATCATTTAGAAAGCACTTGTTTTTTTATCATTATGATTACTTACTTACTTTACTTACACCTGTTACTCCCAATGAAGCATAGGCCACCGACCAGCATTCTCCAACCCACTCTATCCTGGGCCTTCTTTTCTAGTTCCATCCAATTCTTGTTCATTTTTCTCATGTCTATTTCCACTTCCCGGCGTAATGTGTTCTTTGGTCTTCCTCTTTTCCTTTGGCCTTAAAGATTCCATGTGAGAGCTTGTCTTGTGACGCATTTGAGTGCTTTCCTCAATGTGTGTCCTATCCACTTCCAGCGCTTCTTCCTAATTTCTTCCTCCTCTGGGATCTGGTTTGTTCTCTCCCACAGTAGGTTGTTGCTTATAGCGTCCGGCCAACGGATCCGAAGTATTTTGTGTAGACAACTGTTAATAAACACCTGTATTTTCCGGATGATGGCTTTCGTAGTTCTCCAGGTTTCTGCCCCATACAGTAGAACTGTCTTGACATTTGTATTGAAAATCCTGACCTTGGTGTTGGTTGACAGTTGCTTTGAGTTCCAGATGTTCTTCAGTTGTAAATATGCTGTTCTTGTTTTGCCGATCCGCGCCTTCACATCTGCATCAGATCCACCACGTTAATCAATGATGCTGCCCAGATATGTAAAGGTTTTTACATCTTCCAAATATTTTCCGTCAATTTTGATTGGATTGGTGCATGCTGTGTTGTATCGGAGAATCTTGCTTTTCCCTTTATGTATATTGAGACCTACTGCTGCTGAGGCTGCTGCCACACTGGTCGTCTTCTCCTGCATTTGTTGTTGCGTTTGGAATAAAAGGGCCAGATCATCTGCGAAGTCTAGATCGTCCAACTGCATCCTAGATGTCCATTGTATCCCGTGTTTCCCTTCAGATGTTGACGTCTTCATGATCCAGTCGACCACCAGGAGAAAGAGGAAGGGTGAGAGTAAACAACCTTGCCTGACACCGGTCTTTACCTCAAACAAGTTTGTCAACTGTCCTCCATGCACAATTTTGCAGTGTAATCCATCATATGAGTTCTGTATGATATTGACTATTTTCTCAGGCACGCCGTAGTGTCGAAGAATCTTCCACAGTGTTGTTCTGTCCACGCTGTCAAATACTTTTTCGTAGTCAATGAAGTTGACGTAGAGTGATGAATTCCATTCAATTGATTGTTCCACAATGATCCGTAGAGTTGCGATTTGGTCTGTACACGATCTATCCTTACGGAATCCTGCCTGTTGGTCACGAAGTTGGGCGTCTACGCAGTCCTTCATCCTGTTTAACAATACCCTGTTGAAGACTTTTCCTGATATTGAGAAAAGAGTGATGCCCGTGTAGTTATTACAGTTGCTGAGGTCGCCTTTCTTCGGTATTTTGTTCGGAAGTCCTTCTTTCCAGTCTTTTGGTACTTGTTCCTCATCGCAAATCTTATTGAAGAGAATGTGGAGTATCCTTGCAGTTGCCGCCACGTCTGCTTTCAGTGCCTCTGCGGGGATGTTGTCCGGTCCTGCTGCTGGTCGATTCAAGAGTTGTTTAAAGTGTTCTACCCACCTGTTTCGTTGCTCTTCAATGTTGGTGATTACCTCACCTTCCTTGCTTTTCACTGGTCGTTCTGGTTTGCGGCGATTTCCAGAGAGTTTCTTTGTTATGTCATACAGTTGTCTCATGTTTCCTTCTCTTGCAGCCTTTTCCGCCGTCGTTGCTAAATCTTCCACATATTTACGTTTGTCCGTTTTGATGCCTCTCTTCACTTGTTTGTTTACTTCTGTGTATTCAGCTTGTGCCTTGGCTTTTTCTGCTCTTGTTCGACTGGTATCGATTGCTGCTTTCTTGTTCCTCCTTTCTTGAATCTTATCCAGTGTATCCACAGTGATCCATTCCTTGTGATGGTGCTTCTTGTGACCCAGGACCTCATGACATGTTGAAGTGATTGCCTCTTTGATCCCCTTCCAGTTGCTCTCCACAGTAGTTCCTTCTCCATCGAGTAGATCATGAAAGGCTTGGAACTTGTTGCTGAGGACTATCTTGAATTTGTTGAGTTTGTCAGTATCCTGAAGAAAGGCCGTATTGAACTTTTGTGATGTTGTCCGCCCCATTGTCCAGTGCTTTTTGAATTTCAATTTCATCTTGGCGACCAGCAAGTGATGATCTGATGCTATATCAGCTCCTCTCTTGGTTCTCACGTCCTCCATCTTCTTCCTGAACTTTTTGTTGATGCAGATATGATCGATTTGGTTTTGTGTTGTGTGATCCGGTGAAGTCCATGTGATTTTGTGTATGCGTTTATGTGGGAATATGGTGCCGCCTATGACTAGTTTATTGAAGGCACATAGATTTGCAAATCTCTCACCATTTTCGTTCCTTTCTCCCAGTCCGTGTCGTCCCATGATGTCTTCATATCCAGTGTTGTCCGTTCCAACCTTGGCGTTGAAATCTCCCATCAGAATGGTCAGGTCCTTTGTTGGGCACTTCTCGACTATTGACTGCAGCCTATTGTAGAATTGATCTTTAGCGTCTTCATTGTAGTCGTTGGTAGGCGCATAGCATTGGATGATGTTCATTGAAATGCCCTCTTTCTTTGTTTTGAAGGAGGCTTTGATGATCCTTGGTCCATGAGATTCCCATCCTATAAGTGCATTTTGCGCTTGTTTGGACAGCATCAATGCAACTCCTTGTGTATGTGGTGCATTTTCTTCTTCATGGCCGGAGTATAACAGGAGCTCTCCTGTAGTTAGTCGTTGTTGTCCAACTTGTGTCCAATGTGTTTCACTGATCCCAAGTACCTCTAGGTTGTATCTTCTCATTTCTGCAGCAATCTGGAAGGCTCTTCCGGTGTCCCACATTGTACGAACATTCCATGTACCTAAATAAATGGTCGCTCTGGTTGTCAGAAGGGGCATCGGCCTCGTAGCTTCCGAAGGAATTCGGCTTTCATCATGAGGCGTCATAGTTCTTCTAAATGAAGACCTTCTGACTCCCAGGGCAGAGTTTAAAAGGTTTGAATAATTTTTTCTGGTTAGCGTTTTTTTAGCGAGTTAGTTTTCTACGGGATGGGGACGCCAACCCCATGCCCAACCCTCCTCCTTTATCCGGCTTGGGACCGGCAGTAGCCCCCAGAGGGACTCCAGGCGGAGTTATGATTAATTAATACTTTCAGTTATTTTCTATAATTCATCATCATTGAATAAGTGGTGCCTTAACCGCTATAAACCATTATACTTGGTCCTGCATCCCTGTTAGTCGTTCACTGAGCACAATATACTGCAGTATATTATATACCTTAGCTTTGCTACTAAAATTCGATGAGAAGGATTTCATCATTTTTTATTACTTATTATTTTATTATTTGTCAAATGGCTGTTTTACAGTATGTTGACTTCGTGTTAATTACAAATTTTTTTAATCGATTATTTACTATCTTATATTTTACAAAAAATGATAGTGTTCAGTCGACCATAAAATTTGTCATTCTACTTTGAAGCATAATTGACTTTTGTATACATCGGGATCTGTTTTAATTTGAAGTCTTGGAATTACTGTTCGCTTGATCTGTTAGGTTTTGAAAGAAATAAAATTATTTTATATACTTGCATAAACTAAACTCATAGAAGATTACGGCTTCATGTTTTCCCTTCTACTTTGCTGGTTAAACTATGAGATCAAGCAAAACTGTCTGGCGTAGTGAGTGTGTGAAATTCAGTTGACAGATATTCAAGACTTGTCGTTGGTGAAGCAAGCAACAGAATGGATCAGTTGAATTAAATTCAGCTCTGACGGTTAAGTATGACACTGGCTACTCACCTAGCAACTGTTCAGCGTTAAGTTATAATGGTACTAGTTCTGGCAGTATGGGAAACACGTTTGCCAGTAATCTATGTTTACCGTTATACTCTTTTGTGGTATTTCCGTTTTTACGGAATATTAAACATTCCATTTTATCATTCATTTCAATTCTCTATTTCTCTACATATTTTAGAAGTTTAAGAGATCTTTGTTCAGATACCCCATTCTCATCTGATGCCTATAACAATACCACTGCTAATACAGTTGTTGGCGGTGGTCCTAGATCTGATGCAACTCCAATCGACTACGACCCATTACATTTCATTCGTTGTCATGCTAAGGACAATGATGCAGGAGATAGTGAAACTAAAGTTTGGCGTTGCCTATTTGAACCAAATCCAATGAGACCCGATGAAACAACCCACGTAGTTGCAACCTGTGGTGGTGAATGTGTCTGTCTAATCAATTGTGAAACCGGCAAAGTTATGAAGCGTTTTAAACATATGGAAGAGGTGAGAAAACTGTTTCTTCCTAGACTTTTGTGTTGCTTGTTTTATCCATACTGTTGATATATGGAATGAGTATTTTCGTCTTTCTGATACATTCATAGTCTGTTGACATTAAAACTGAAAAAAAGGAATGTATGTGCAGTTTATGACTCAAATAGAGAAGTCAAAAGTGGATTTTGATGTAATAATAATAATAGTAATAATGGAATAATTTCATTTTAATTCACCACAAAAAGTAAATATCAAATTCATCAAACCCACCGATTAGCTTGAAATGATTTTCTTTTACAAATCGAAGTCGACTAATTAGTCGTTGAACATATCTTTACGCCAAATGTTTTGTGATAAGTAAATAGAATACAAATTTTATGTATTTGATTGTCCCTCCTCATCTCCATACCTTTTTATCAATATAAAAGCGTTTGAAAGTGATTTCATTTACTGGAAATTAAATCCTTTTAAGACATTACTTTGAGCTGAAACTAAAAATCTACTCATTAAGGTCACTGACAATAAGTGCAAAGGCAATTTAATAAAACTGGTCAATATCACTCCTTCATTTGAATTCCTTATTCGACTTACTCTCACCCTCTCAGAAGAGAGACAATAATTGACCTGATTTCAGATTGTTATTTCTGTAGTGTTCAGCAAACATAGACTTATTGGTAAAATCAGTTATTAAAGATCTCAAGTAGTTCAATTCAAAATTGGTTTCAATGCTATTCCTCCAGATCTTGACCTTATCATTCTATACCCACTTGTTCTATGTTCGTTCACATTTTCACTTTGCTAGGCTCTTTCAGTCAGTATCCAAGTTGATTCTCGACTTAATTCCAAAAGAGATGAATTATTTAAACTCTTTAATTCTGGCTAACTTTACCGTTAAATTACAAGTTAATGAAATCAAAATAATTGGTTTATAAGCTAAACATTATGTACAGTGGGACCGGTGCAATTAATTAAACCCTAATTGAGATTCCAATTTTATTTTCTAATGAAAATAAATGTTTTATTCACATTGGTCTTCATGTCAATTTGTAATGATTATTATGCAAAACAGATTACACTATGCTAAAGTTCCATCTGCTTTTCCTACTGACAAAAGAATCCCTGTTTAATGCACTAAGTTATTACTGACTTTACGAATTCTAAAAGGTACCATCTAGTAGGAAAAGCCTTTATTTTTCTATGTCGTGAAACTATCCTACAAACTTGTATAGAAATTTCGATGAACTATTTTGAAGCATATGAAAGGTGCAATCTTATGACATAATGATAACTTCGTGCAATGTTTGTAAAACTAAGATGATCCTCAGAAATTCTTAGTATAATACCTATTAAACAATTTTAATCTACTCTCATATATTTCGATCTTAAACAATATTCTACTTCATTTGTAATCAATAATATAACCATTATTCTACTAGGAATTTTATACCATAGCCTGGACAACTGTTGAAGTTGAAGGCAGTAAACGTACTAATATATTAGCTGCTGCAGGTCGTATGCATGAAATCAGATTACTTCATCCAGAACAGTTGGTGTGTTATGCTGAAATGAAAGGTCATACAGAAGATGTGACAGCTATGATATTTCATCAAACACAATCTACAATTTTATTCAGTGGAGATTCTAAAGTATGTGAAACTTTCGATTCAGTACAATATTTTGAATATCTATGTTAACATTGTTTATGTCTGTTATGCCAGTGATAAAATATATTTCTCAATAGTTTTACTTTTACAGTCTTTGAAGGATTAGTGGTAAGATTATGATATCCTGAGGAGCTGGAGTTAACCAATCACAATAACTCCTTATGTATTTTGCGCGAGATTTAAAGTGCAGTGGTAAATAATTTGTATTTTATCATTAAAGAGATGAAAATTGACAATTGTTGATTCTTGAATTACTCAGAATCAATCTATTAGACAACCAAAAAGTGAATTTAAAATGGCAATTAACCTAAATGACAAAACATACCTGTTTCTAAAGCAGATTGTGTTTTATAGTGCTTAATGTGGTTCATTGTGTAGTTAAAAGTGTTGAGTGAAGCTAAATAATATTCCCCCCTTCTGACTCATCCTCCAAATCTCAGCCTTAAGTTTCTTATGTTTATTAACAGATGGGTGGCGTAGCATTGAATTATAACTGCTGTCAGTTCGTGATGGGAATCACAACCCTAACTTGTAAATTCAACTCCAACCCTACCCTTAATACTTAAACTTAACTTTTTTACATTGCAACTGATGTCATGTGGTGATGAAATTTCTATGCAGTGATAATCCTAACACATAACAGGACCCCGACCCCTAATGCGTAAATTTGACCTTTTTACTTTACCACAAAGAATAGTTTGGCATATGAGGGTTATTCATTCAGGTTGAAGCTGTTGTATCATTGCTTTTTATTTTTGACGGCTTTGTAACTAAGCAGTATTTATTGATTAGCCGATAAGTCCCCCAAGGTCTCCAGTATATTATGCTTTTACCGGATAACTGCCCGACAATATTTTTGAGGTTTATTCTATGCATTTATGTGTTCTAAAATAAGTCTTCGAATATTAAACGGACACAAATTATTTTGTACAGATTAATCAAGAAAATGATTATACTAATTAGCTCTTCATCCTGTTTTGCATACCTTCCACATAAAAGTAATCTGAGATGTTTTAACACTCCATCCAGGTTTACAGAATATGATTACTAAGTCAAAGGTTACTGAATGTTAAGTTACCTACTGTTGTATGTTTGCGAAATTATTTTTTACCTACATCAATCGAATACAGACAATTTCGACTATATGACTTCACAAAACTAGACACAATCATTAGCTGTTTATTAATTCTATCTCTGTTATTTCAGTCCTCATTAATAAAGTATATGATCTTTACAATTTATATTATTTAAATTATAAAGTACGTTAACTCATCCATTAGTTACTTGGGGGTGAACCACAATCTAAGTATAAGGGCTGATGATATTTCTCAGTCATATAAATAGGATTAGGCGAAATGGGGCTCGAACCTGGGACACTTAGTGGCTGGACACATTAACCACAATCTGTATTATAATAGCAATCACTTTCAATTTTCATAATATTTGCTAATGAGATGTAATTTGCTACTACTACTTCTATCCTTTTTAGGCATCTGTAATCGTTTGGGATATTGGAATTCCATCTGTTCCAGACTATAAAACACGTTATCAACTATTAATGCGTCTTCGTTGTCCTAGATTAGATGTGAATCCAGTATTAAATCTGGTTTTCCTTCCACATTATGCTTATTTAATAGCTGGTTGTGAGGATGGACTGTTTGCATGGAAAATAACCGATCTACGTTTAGAGAAACGAGAACGTGAACCGGATATGGAGTTGAAATTGGACTTTAATCATGAAGTTTGTATTGATGCTTTAGCTCAGCTAAGCGATAATGCATTAGTTTTAAAAGTAGTGGAGTCTGGTGAAATTATGGTGTTCGATTTTGCATCTATTTTGGAACGACGTAAAGGTTAGTTAATAGATATAGAGGTGTATGTATATACAGATTGTTCACGTGTATACTCTAGTTTTTCGGATTCTAATATATCAATTCCGAAAAGCTACTGATTATATCAAATTGTTCTAGTCAAATTTCAGCGTAAGAAAATCATTTAGATTATTGTTCTATTCGTATTTACGGATTCTAATTAATAATGTTATATTTCAGCAATAATCATAAAAATATAAACGCAGTCTAAACAATGGTTGTAGACCGTGCTAAACACTTGTATTCAGACAATCAAGTGGATGACCATCCTATTCAAGGAGAATACAAGTCTGTATCACAGATAAATATAGCTTACAGTATATATATATATATATATATATATATATATATATATATATATATATATATATATATAAAGACCGAAGGTCCTTAGTTTAATCCCCTGATGGCGGGGTCGTGAATGCACACTCACGAGAAATCCCACACTACGACGAAACAGCTATCCATTGCCACCCGGTTTCCACTGAGTGTTTAATTAAGATCATTTCATGATGTCAGGTATGAAATAGAACTAAAATTACACGTTCATTCGTTACTATATTCTCTAAAATTATATGCAATCCAAAAAAAAGTCTGTATATACTCGTCCATCCATCACAACGGTTTTCACAACTGTCATCAAGTTTTACTGCTGCATAAAATAAAGCGAATATTTTTAACTCTTTTTCAACCTACTCAGTATAAAAAGAGGTGTGAGCTTATCCATCTTGTTTTCAAAGCTTAATAAGTGTGCAGTCTCCAGTTGTTTTTTTTTTTTTGAGCATTTTTATCACACATTTGGTGAGTGTTGTTTATATTAGTGTAATTTTCACTGAAGATTTCATTTCAAGCATTTGAAACTATCCACAGTTGTCTGTTACGAACACATTAGTTTAATGCATCCCAACAAGCCGGATGAGAAACATCCATAAAATGAAATTTAGGACTCAAAATCTCTCCATCTCGCTATCACCCATTAAATGAGCAAAATGATGCTGGATGACGGACGCCTAATCGACATTTAAAATGGATATATACATATATATGGTAGTGACCATTAAATATGTGATTTCCTTTCCTCTCATTGATTTCTACTCCAGACTCAGCGAATGTGACTGCTTGTAACTGCCTCGAATAAAGTATCTGATAAGTCTTGCTAATTGAAAGCTATATTCGGTTCCCAAGCTATTCTCGTAACCCCCAAGCTAGAACTAAACAGCGAGCTGAACATGAGAGACAAATATTCGAGAAGCACTTTACTCGAAAGGTTCATTTTAGTACGGAAAATATAAGGTTTTTATAGTATTTTAGATGTCCTTGGGTTTCCCGAAGATTCTGGAATGCTACTAAACATAGTAGTAGTATAGTATTCAGCCAGTCAGAAACTCTACATGTGACTTTTCACTTTCTTGATGTTTCTGGCTAAACTTCAAGTGAACGATTCTTATTGTTTCCTGAGCCTTTCTTGTCGTTTGCGAGAAGTTTTCTGGATCATCCCAACAGTATCATCTAGTGTTTATCTGGTTCTTTATTCTGAGTTGTGAATTACGTATCTGAAACAACACTACTAGTCTCATTATTGTATTAACGTGTGACCGTAGTACACCTTTAAGAAATATTTTAATACATCCGTTATATATATATAATCACCTAGGCGTCTTGCTTTTTTGAGGTCACTTCTCAGTTTTTAATCTCAACCAACATACCATCCATTGATTGTGTCTAGTTATAATAGCCATCACAAAGTTGTTTGGGTTTTCCATGGTAGTTAACAAGGTAATGCCCTCAACCTCACCCTGTATTATCGAACTAACCCTAAATAGAGCACTCTTTGTATGTATCCGTTCGGCCTAAAATATACTAACGATTTCGTTCATTTTATCTGGGTCCTGGATGTTGTAAACGTAACTCATGCTCAGTTTTTCCAGACGACTTGTGGTCAAGCGGTTTTGTAATGAAGTGGTTTATTTGTGTTATAACTATGTATATATTTGTCATTTATGTACTACAGGACTTCAGCGTGTTGTCCCAATTGAGATGCGAGGTCACTTGTTATGGCAGAAAACGGATGAAATCTATATTAATGTATCTGTCAGACAAAATCTAGGCGCTGTCCTATGCGGTGATAACGAAGGCTCAATTTGGATATATGACTTGGATCCATACTTGGATGATTTGCATTCTTCTAGTCGTAAACGTTTTCATGTAAAACCAATCAAGGTATAGATGGTTTGCTTTTAAAGATATTTTACATCTATCTGTTATTTGTCATGAAAAAAGCATCATGGTTTCGGTTGATACGTTTTCAGAATCCTGCAGTCTGTCTCAGAATTAACACTAAATTTTTCGAATCCTCTAAGCATGTACAGTTCACCTAATCTAATTGACAAGTTTTTAAGACTTGATCCTCCACCTTGTTTACACCTGTTGTTTGCAAGTTATTAATCCAAATAATCTACTTTCCATTGTCAATCGTATTTCACCGATCGACGAATTCACTCTGATTATTCAACTAATTGCGTGCAGTATTTAGATTCATTTTTAGTTTTAGGCATTCTAGATCTATATGTTGCTGCTGTGTATAATTTTAATCAACAGAACAAGTGGAAGTCATGATATGAGTAAGCATCGTTCTTCTGTTTCACATTGTCACCTAGCCTATTTACTCAATCCTCAGTTGAAAATCCTTAATTTCTAGTGCTTGTTCGAGTAACTAATTTTATCTTATCAGATATGCAGTTGTAACAACAGGAGTAGTTAAATAACAAGCAGTGTTGTTTCCCTTGGTTTCCTTATCCCTTGTTTACCGTTAATGAGCTGAACGCTAAACACGTGCAAAATGAACGACCATTGTTAAAACGACTTATATCCGGCTAGTTGAAACGACTGATTGATCCGGTAATATATTTTCCAGTTAACCAGGTCATCCTGTAATATATATCGTAAACCTTTCGATTTTTTTATTGATATTGTGATACAGATCATGTATACTCTTCAAATTGTTGAAGTGAGACCATAAATACTCTAAATAGCTAACAAAGTACATTACGAGTTTGATTCCAAATATTTTCTGTCGATATATGTCTGAAAATCGTTGTGATACATAATCAGCTGTGTAAACTTTTGTGCATCTTTATTACACTAAAATCCTATACTTTCTGGTCATTAGTATTGTAGCATAGTACAAAATAAAAATGTTGTGCAACTAAACATTATTACGAATAATAATCCAAATAAAAATTATCCACCTAATTTTTGATCTTGAGTCATATTTTGTAATGGTTAAAACTACCTAGTTGCATGATCTTTACGATGTTCATCAAGTATGTTAGGGATCTGCCAGCTGATATAAAACTGAATGTAACCATTTTTCTTCCGATAAAATTCATTATAAACTCATCACCTTTTTTATGTTATCCAATATAAGCCAAATCTTTTGTATTAGAATTAATTAAACTATTTAAGTACCTCAACGAAAATCACTTCATTCAATGTAACCCTAAATGAATTAAAAGAGTAGAGTTCATTCATCCGTACCACATATAAAACACAATGCAAGCGCTTCAAAATCCAGTTGAATTCTAATTAAATGATAATTCAATAGTGGACCACGTATTTAAAGATGTATTATATTGTATACAACTCTAATAACTACCAACTACCATATCTCACCAACACATTATGTTACCTTAACATCTATTCAAACAAAAACAATAAAACAACCTATAGTTTAATATTATAATATTTCCAAGAGTAGAATTAAAATATCCATCATTTTCCCAATAACAAATATCTATTAGTTTGTTATTATTAACTGTGTAAGTTTCAATGTATTGTTACATACTCTTCTGAAGCTTTATTATTTACGGTATTTTAGTCAGTAACAGCAGAGGATAACTAGAGCACCACTAAGCAACAATACAATTTTAACAGTTCCATTTTCTTTTAGTCTATACACGAAATGTAAAATTTTCTGTCATTATTCTGTCTACATCATTGTAAATTCTATCTATATATCTTGTAAAAATTAATTCTTAGATTCTTGAATGGCCTGAATGTTCAGTTCAAGGTAATCGTGATGAAGATCAACAATTGAAAGAAAGTATTACATCAGGTTTTCGTAATCCTGTTGTAAATTCAGTTGAAATGAGCTCAGATGGTTATTATCTAGCAGCTGTAACTGATAACAATCTTGTATGTATATGGCGATATGCTCCACCCCAACAACAACAACAGTACTCTCAAATAATCCAACAAACCACAACATCATCATTACATCAAACTACTCCTATGCAACATAATAGCAATCAATTAACAGCTATCAATAGTTCTATTGTTACTGTTCCCAATGTTGCTAGTATAATCAATGATGACACATCATCGTCAACGATAGCATGCATGGAACTTTTAAACAATACTAATACTAATAATTCATCAATTGCTTTAAAATCAAATGCTATAGAACTTGTTACTACCGGTCAACATTTATTAGAATAAATATCGTTATCATTATGATGATAATGTTATACGATTTGTCTTGTATTTTTGTTATTACTGTATCATGATTTATGTAGATGTTCTCTCCTCTCTCTCTCTCTCTCATATATATATATATATATATATATATATATATAATTTTGTATAGAACTCAGTTATTGACTTCTAGGCGCCGGAAATATCCTATACAAATACAAGGCGTCTTTAGTTTTTGATTTTTACTCATTCAATTATCACTTTTGTTCCTGTCTTCGTATTTTTTACTATTATCCATCATGTCATATTTGTTCACATCTATAGTTACTTCGAAGAATCATGCTTCACTTATTGTTCTATTCATGTGCCTACATGTTTCAAATACTTGTAAACACCAAGTTAGTTACATTGTTATCAGAAAGATGAAGGTGGTATCACTGTCTCCTTCCGTCTCTCCTTCACTCCAATTTTTCGTTATTTTTGTACCTTCTTTCCGGTTTTTGTAATCCATAGTGTGTTGTCTGCATGAAGTATCTCTCTTTGATATTCTCACTTTAACTTTTACCTAAACAGTATCGATAAAGTGTCATTTGCTATCATTATTACCATATAAAAGTAACATTATTATTATTATTATTATTATTATTATTATTATTATTATTATTATTATTATTATTATTATTATTAATACGAATTGCAATGTTCAATACTTCATTTAAAAACAAATGATTCCAACTTGTTTCTTATCATATACAATGTGTGTATAATATATTTCCATCCTACTGTTTATATATATGCATCTTAGGAACGCATAATTAATGTAACTGTTTTCATCAAATAGAACTATTCATTTGTTAAATATTCTGTTAAAGGGATCGTTTGAGAAGCTTGTCTGTTAGTTACTAGTATATTTATTCTCATAATTTAAATTAGTTTAAAAACAAATAAAAATCGAAAAGTGAACTTAGCGATCGGTTCATAAATCTACGTCCTGTTTTAATTGATTCAGAAACTCTTATGTAGAGCCATTTCCAAGAGAGAATATTCAGTTTTGCTATTCTTATAGTGTGTATAAGAGCAAAATTGTATTAATTAAAAAATCACGATAGAATGGAACAGTCATATTACCGTGTTTGTTGACATTCAATGTGAACCAGGTACTTACAGTAATTCTTTCAGCCTACACCTATGGGGAAGATTTATAAGCTAAATTAGCTTGGAACATTTACATTCAATAGTCGTTTTCTTATGTGTAATCAGTCTGAATTAAATATTCTTGTAAACATTAAAGTCTCACTCAAGGAGATCATTATATTTTTATTGTGGATATAATTCAAATTATTTCGAATCACTATCCAGTAGGTTTTTAAGAACTAATTGACTCATTCTGTAAGTGTTTAAATATAAATTTACCAGTTCCCATTAACTTTTAGGTGCAGGGATAATATCAATTCATACTGTAGTTGATTTAGTCTTCATCTGATCTTTAATTTGTAGTTACATGTACATTTATTGATTGGTTCGTTAAAAACCCAAATGGTGTATATCCCTAGATATCTGTTTCAGAAAGCCAATCTTATCAAAAGTTCTTATCGAGTTATACATGTTGATATGTTTGTAACCGACAATTTCTCAGCTCGTAAAGGACTGAATGGTGCACAAGACCATGCAATCGGTATTTTTAGAGTCCCGACCACTAAACCTGATAATGACTATTCGTTGTTTTTGTCTCATTTGAATGACCATCTGATTTAAACGACCATCAACTTTGAAAACTTATAGAAATATGTTCCCATTCTTTAATTGGATATGCGGTTCTAATAAGTAAATCTGTGGATAATACGAGCAATCACCGTTGGGAGTGTTTGAAATCAAAACACTTTTTAGTCTCCGACTTTACACTTGTCTATGATGAATTAAAACATACTGATAAGAGAAATTCAAACTCAACTAGCCGAATTGAAGGAGCAATCTGTTTAAAGACAAGCAGATTTGCTTAATGATCACAAAATACTTTGGATAACTAGATGAAAAGAGTTTGAAAATTCATCTTATCGATAATATTCTTCAACTGTTTAGAGACTATGCACACTACTAAAACACATGTTTATTGAAGAATCCTCAATTCAGTCACAAATCGATTGGAACAGTTTTGAATGAAGTTAACATTACTGATATCTAATGCATCATTGATAATATAGAAAGTAAGCTACAAATTGATTCATCGAATAGTTTCGGGTTATTAAAAAGATTTGTAGCTTAGAATGATAATTGTGCTGTGATTTCCAAAATCTAATGTCTAACTATAGAATCATATTATCAAGCAAGATGAAATATCCATGGCTAAACGTCGGATTTGTAGAACACTACATAATTGCTGCTAAGTGATGTATTGTTCATCAACATGATTTTAAGGTGGTTTCAACCGGTAATGTATTAAAAACTTTGTCGAAAAGCTAAGAAAAATCGAAATCATACAGGTTAAAGCTTAATTCACTTATGAAATGAATTTGATAGAAGCATTGGTTCATATTTCTTAGCATATCAACATTTGATTAGTTGTCTTTTCCCAATGGAAATTGATTGGACAGTTTTTTTATCACCTCAGCGTGTGTGCTGAAGTCTGGTCAACATTACCATCCATCGATTCCTGGATTTCATTTATAAATTCTTAAGTCAATTTAATCCAATTCTAAATGAGTTTTTCACCATTCGCAACTTCTTGTGTATAATTTCAGCTAACTGACATCATCATGGGATGTTTTGAACTTTATATTTGGTACTTGATAAAAACAAAGTGTACTTTCATTGCATGGCATTGAAGAAGACCACAGAGCATATCAAGTACAATTATATTCATATTAAATATTAGTTCAAACATAGAATACGTTAAATACTCGTCATATGTTCCGCTTCTACGTAATGGTCCCATGTAATTTTGTCTGTATTCTTTTCAATGTTGATCAAGCAACTTGATTTATTCCATGTTTCTTCCTTTATCCTTTATCGTTTTTTTATTTTTAAGCACAAATAATCATGAATAATGACGTAGAAAAGTCAAACGATGATGTTCAGTTATCAATTGATTTGGATGGAAATGAAATGACTGGTAAAAATGCCATGTATTTAGCACATGATTTAACACAAGAACAAAAACGTACTGCTGATGTTTTAGGAGAGAATGTATCAAATGGAAATTGTGCTAATAGTCGTAATATACATTTTGTAGACTTACAATTATCTACACCAGTATTACATGGACTACACGATGCTGGATTTATTCGACCATCACCTATACAAGTTAAAGCTATTCCTTTAGGTCGATTAGGTATGGATCTAATTGTTCAGGTACGAGACTTTATGTTGTAGACGTTTTTAGGCCAAGTTGAAATGTAATTTTCAGGGTCAATAAAATTTGTTGTAAAGAATATTGGTTGATTGTGATGATATTTACTGATTATGTTATATAGATATTTGTCATTAACTTTAATATAAGGGTTCAAAAATTATCAAAGGCTAGAAATGGCTAGTTCTAAAACATTTTAGATTAGAATTGAACAATAATTCAATATACTTCCTGTCGTTCTCACTTATTCGTTAAGTAATGCAACATTTTTTAGTGAAGCGGTGGTTCAGTGTTTATGGTGTTCGATTTTCAGTTACTAAATCGTGGGTCCATAATCTGTTCCACTAACTTCCGCCTGAGCGACCAAGTGATATCAATACCTCTCACACATAAAGTGTAGCTCGAAGCTAAGTATATTAATACTAATACTGGCAAATAAATATCATTTGATTTGACAATGGATTGTGTGAACTATTAACATATTATACGAGAGTTAACAAAAACCCCACAGGGAGTTTCAGTTTCATCGAGACTACAGATACTTTAATGCTGACCAGCGTCAACTAGCATGAAACCTAGATCTAGGCCTTTTCTCTGATCGACTTCGACAACATTGATTTTAACGTCAACATATGGTTCATTTGGTGTTAAATCATTTAGACTTTCGGTCACATTAGAATCCAGTCGCTAAGATTCCACCAGCACCAAAAACTGTTAGGACCTTGCTGTAATAAGTATAGGGAAAAAACAACCTCTGATGACATTCAAAGTCAACGATGTCATCTCTTGACTAGTGGGTGACGTCTGAATCATCTAGTTGATGGGAAATTTTTTGTTAGTGGGAATATTCTTTCCCTAATTTATGTAATTTATTGATCAGTGTCAAAAATTTCAGCATACTTTTCAAAATCCCGTCATTTTTCTAAGCACCTTGATTTTCAGAAACGACCCTTGAACTCAACTGGGGTTCGATCGAAAAGTTAGGATCACTGGAAAGCTACTTCGTTCTAGTAAGGTCAGAATTGATTGGAGTTGGAAATGTGTACCATTGGATCCTGACCCAGTGGTCGAACGTTTAAGTACTCACCGATCCTGAGTTTAACCCCTGATTTTTTCATGGGTCTACAATGCTCAAGAATCTTATCCTAGAACCAAACAACCTGATTCTCAATGGCACCCCAAATGAGGTCGGTCTGTGACAAATATCACCTACAAATCCACCTTTTGTCATCTCTTCACGTATGAGATTTGTCTAAAGTAAGGGAAACTGTTCTTTACAAACCACCTAACTAAATGTTTATTATTTTTATAATTTCCTTTCATCTCTCTGTATTTCCTGTTTTTTTTTAACATCGGAAAAAAGGCTAAATCTGGTACCGGTAAAACGGTTGTTTTTGCTGTAGTTATTTTGGAAGCAATCAATGTAAAACGACCTACTATACAAGCAATTGTTTTGTCACCAACTCGGGAAATTGCATTTCAATCACAAATGGTTATTGAACGATTAGCCAGTCATATACCAGGTTTAAAATGTCATCTATTTGTCGGTGGTAAGTATATATATATATATGCCGTTATGTATTGGCTATTGTCATCAAATATCCATGGATTTATTACCGTAGAGCATGGAAACAGATTTGTCAAATGCATTTTTTTCACTGAGATACTCCTCGTTTTTTGAATATTCTCTGTGAATCTGATTAATGTAAACAAAAAAAGTTTCATCAATGCTCAGTTTGAAATTTTCTTTCGATGAATAAATGCCATTCAACTAAATAACCCGAAATTCTTAGAAAATCATTCAATGAAAAATCTGAAATATAAAGGGTAACTTCTGTGAATAGGTATTGATTGTTCAACTATCAATCCAATCATCAAAAAACTTGAGAAGTCAAAAACCTTTTATATTAAAAATTTCTTGCTTGATACGCTTTACATGCATTCAGAGGTAATGATTCTTCGGTGCTCATCTGGACTCTACTATGACTGAGCGATAATGATTTTATGAAATGTATATCCTGCTTTCTTCGTATACACTTTATTGACAAATCACGTTGATACAAAGTAAGATAATGAAAGTCGAATACGAATTGTACTAAGGATATGTATGTTTCAAGCATGCTAGCATTAAACAAAAGATAAACAATAAAAGACTCAGCAAATATATAAAACATTGATGTTCGACAACGCACTTATTCAGTGAATGATAAGGTGGTGATTCAGTTTTTATAAGTTTTATAAGAGATTCAGGAAAAAGATACACAAAATCATCATTCCCACATGTATAGAGTCTCAAGGTCACAGTTAAGTAATAAGCACGGGTGGGTATGTGTATTGGTGATAGAATAACCTGAAAGATCATCATAGTTTATCTGTTCGATAGCTAGAGGAAGTCACGTAGGCGTTATGATAGAGAAGCTATTTCAAATCCCTAATGTTAATGTAGTTTCATTATCTAAGCTGAGATTAGTTTTATCGTAAAGTCCTCATTGTCTTTTTAAAAAAATCTTTTTAAAGGTGATTAAATTCTCGCAAGAATTCAAACTAACTGTGCAAATAATTCAATTTTCAAAAGCACACTATTTTCAATTCCTTTCTTAAATTTGACTAATAATTATGTTTTTATGTCAACCAATTAGAATGAAAGTCAACGATCAAGTTCAACTGACTCATGATCTTAATCATTAAAATTACTATAATATCCACAAAACCCATCTGATATTAATCAACATATGCTCACTAGTGACTGGCTTCATAAGGTATATCCTGGAGTTCTAGTGAGAAGTAGTGACCAGTGGAATTCAACCAGGTCTGTTGTGAGATAGTAACTCATTGAAGACAATGGTGGATGTGTCGCTCAGTTTCGTGGATTAGTTGAAGTTAGACATTAAAACCGTTGGATGCCGGCTCAGTGGTCTAATGGTTAAGTGCTCGCGCGCGAAGCCAGTAGGTCCTGGGTTCGAATCCCGCGGGGGGCGGGTTCGTGGATGCTCATTGCTAAGGAGTCCCATACTAGGACGAAACGGCCGTCCAGTGCTTCCAGGTTTCCAATAGTGGTCTAGCTTCAACTGACTCATGATTTCAACCTATGGAATTTCCTAAAATCTCCACAAGACTCATTCTGACAATAATTATGTGGTTAAAATGTAAGTGAATTAAAATTCTTTCACTAAAATAAAACCGTGATTTTATTGGAGGAGGAAGAAGAAAAACATACTATGAAGTACAACGTTGCATAGTGACTTACAAGTGTTTAATGTTTTTAAGACAAATTGAAAAACTAATTAAGTCACAAAGAAGTTTCTAAAGAATATCATCAAATTTGTCTAAATCACAACCCTTCTTTTTATGATATGAATCTAGATGATCTACAAGCTTTTATAAAGCTGAGTACAGTTATTATAAGAATTCATTCTGTATTATTGTGTTATAAAGCAATGTTTCAGTATTATTCATATGTTCTTTTCATTTGATTAACATCACTCTTTTGGAAAGTAGGCGACTAGTTGTTATGTTGTTTCACAAACATCTCAGTTATTAGAGACTATTTTATTCACAAAATTATCTACTTTACTTCGAAACTAATAAAATAACCCCTTCTATTTCCTAATTGATAGTTTCCATCAAAGTCCCAAACAATCAAATATCAACAGCATTTCTCTTGAATTCATGGGGGGCGGGATCGCATTTCAATGAATTAAAAAATAAATAAAAGCATCCATAAACACTCAACGTTTTTGCAGCTAAATAACTATCACGTCTATTTTACATGTCAAACAAATTATTGGATAGGGTTCTGGCATCACATGCTAATATCCTATATAAACTAATCCCACACAAAAGTACGTTCAAGTCAGAGATTTAATGTAAGCAGAAACATATTCTGTATACCGCTATTAAGTTTAAAGATTTAGACTATGACAATCAAATAGTACTATAACATCCATTAAATAGATTTATAGTAAAAATCCCCTTACCACAATTCTTAAAAAATGACCCTTAGCAAAACTAACCTGGAAAATTTCGAGTTGACACTCCTTAGTAGTTGAATCTAGTCCTTCTGTTATTTTGATCATCAGTTAATATTTTAGCTTAGAAAGCTTATTATTAAGTGTCCAATTAACCATTCCAAATATAAATTTAAATCCTTTCAATTCACCTGTATCGATATGGGCTAACTGAAATAAAAGATCACTGGTAAGTGTTATCATATTCAGTTGAATTAAGTCAGAAGATTGTCTTCCGTTCTTGAATTGTAGATTCATCATAAATTTGGTTCTACTTCATGAAAATTAGAGATGAAAAAAGTCAGTCACACCAGTCTACGGTAAACCATATATAAAGAAGAAAAACCAATCAACATCGTGTAGTTGAACACCAACTAACGAAAATGGATCTATCTATTTAACTAATAAATAAAATGTAAACAAGGGGATTGTGCAGTAAATCAGTGATTATATTATATGATTTACATAGATGATTAATATAATTTCTTGATTTTATTCTTAACACTCTTACTCATCTTAACAATTTGGTGTTTTGTCTGACTGCCAAATAGCTCAGTTTAGCTAAGGCCTATCATATGTTTGCTTTTTAATTTCAAATTAAACAAGTCTTCGAAATTTCTAATAATTCATAAAAAAGTAACTGATTACTCTCTCATTACTTATGCTTTTCTTTTCTTTTTGTTTAGGCTTGCCCTTAGCTGATGATTTACGTCATTTATCCAACTGTCATATTGTTGTCGGTACACCAGGACGTGTTCGATATTTATTGGAAGCTGGTTATCTATCTACTGAACATGTAAGACAATTTGTATTAGATGAAGCTGATCTACTTCTATCCGGTGGTACAGATGCTAAATTAACTGGTGGTAGTGCAAACAATGCATTTCCAGCTGATATTAATTACATTTGGTGGAGTTTACCACAATCTAAACAAGTATTAGCTTTGTCAGCTACCTATACGGATTATTTAGTCAATGAACATCTTCCACGTTATATGAATGATCCAGCAATTATACGATTAGCTGTCAATGATCCAGCTTTAATAGGTTTGTTATCAATTTCAACATAAAATAATAACATGATTTTTATTTCTGAAATGTTCTTTAAATGATACACTTAGAGTACAATAATGAAATAGTTTATTTGAATTATAAATAACTCCGCCTGTAGCTCTTATAGGGTTGCTACCGGTCCCAAGCCCAGGTAAAGGAGGAGGGTTGGGCATGGGGTTAGCGTCCCCATCCCGTAGAAAACTAACTCGCTAAAAAAACGCTTACCAGAAAAATAAATATGAAATGAAGAAAATAATTGTTGATTACTTTTGCGATTAAGGTTATATTTTCAAAGGTAATAGACAAAAACATTTGCTGCACCCAGTTTGTATATTTATTCTTTAAAACATATGTTCAATCAACAGTATAATTGATCATATTCATAAAACCAGTATTACTTACAACATATAAAGCGATTAAAAGTGGTGTCAAGCAAAGCTATTTCATTGCCATAATGGCTTCAAGGATTGTTTTTTCTGTGTGATTTAAGGATTTTACGGAATATCTTACATAGTCTTTGATATTTTTTAACATAAAAAACTCAACTTAATAGAACAATTTTTGTGGATTTCTATCCAGTATTACATTTGTTACTTCAAATACTAATATTTTGTTTATGAGATTACAAATGAATACTTGTTACACAATTGGTAAGCTGATCAATTAGTCCACAATAAACAATCAACTGTTGTTTGAAACGTTAAGTTTTCCTAAAATTTTAATAAATAATCACTGTAGGAAGATAAATGACGAATCACTAGAGATACAAATTGATTGCATTTCAACTTGTGTTGTTGTGATCTCTGACCCAGTGGTTCTAATGACAAAACATTCACTGCAAAGTCTGAAGGCCCTAGATTCCATCGTCAATGGATTCGTGGATACGCATTGATGAAAGATCCTATACTAGAACAAACAAACTATCCAGTACTCCCTAGTCGTTAATGGCATCTCAATTGAAATCAACCTGTAACTAAGACACCCTATAGATATATAAATCCTCGAGAGTAAACGAATATATATATATATATATATATATATATATATATATCAGATATACAGTTAAATGCAAAACAATTAATCATTACCAAAGTCGACTTTGTGTTATTTTCTATTCAACATGAAACACAGTGAAAAAATAAATGTCCAAATCACGAAGAGATTGATACTAAACAAGTGAACATTTGGGTGTTGTATTAGTAGTCTAAACATTAAATGCTTGCTACGAGGCCTGAGTAACGTGAGTTCGATCCCCGGTGGGACCAAAAGGTGCGCGCTACTGAGAAATTATATACTAAAACGAAACAGATATCCAGTACTTCCTAATTTCAGTAGTTATCTAAGAACTGTTCGTCATGTAAACTATGAAATTTTATTTTAGCATCAAACACTGAAATAGGAGCACTTGTTGTTGGTTGAATAAGATGGAAAAATTGACGTACACCTACGGAAATAATTAATAATAATAATAATGATATTATTTGAAAAAAGGATGAAGACAATTTATTCAGTGATGACTTAATTATATAGTAATTTTATTGAAAAGTTCTGGAACATTGAAATAGTGATTAGAACTCATGAAAATAGATTAATGGTAATAAAGAAAATATGAATTGAAATCAATCATTTATGTATGATGTTATTTATATTTCAGAAAGAGTTGCAATAATGACGTAATAAATAAATAAATAGGAGCAAATTAATAGAAAGAGTGGGGGTTATTGTTACCAGGGTAAAGAAGGATTTATTACTGTCTCTTTTTGTATACATAGATCTGGTGTTAAGCGTTTGATTGCTAACGCTTCAGCGAATTTCAAAAGGTTCGAGTTTGATTGTTTGTTAATCACCTTGAAGGACTTCAGTATATCAGCTTTATGTCCTGTATCAAGGAGATGTCTTGCGATAGCACTGTTGAATGCGTTCAATCCATTTAACCTTAAACTTTTCGGAATATGTTCTTTGAATCGGACGTAGGCTCTCCTTTCTGTTCTACCAATGTAACTGCTTTGGCAGGTACATGTAAATTTGTATACACAGTTGGTTGTAACATGAAAGGGATACCTGTCGACCTTTGATTGTGTCAAAGAGCATGTTGTTTTGGACAGGACAATCAATTTCGCTGCAGGATAAGTTCTTGTCAGTGCAGTTTTTAATCTCATATTGATTGATCCTGTGACATCGTCACCTTTGAATTGAAGTTTAATAAAAATAGGCTTTTTATTTGCTGTAATTTCTTTCGGCTTTTTAACTTCACATTTGCCGTATTTCTCAATAAATTTCAGCGGGTATCCGTTATTCTTTAAACATTTTTTAACATTCATAACTTCCTCTTCTAGTGTATCGGAAGTACATATTCTTTCTGTTCTGTAAAACAGTGTTTTGACCAGTGCCTTTTTGTAACTGATTGGACAAAAGCTATTGAAATTAAGATAACTACCATTCCATGTGTCTTTCTTATAAACTGAACGTTGAACTGTACCATCTTTCCTTCTTTTCATCGCGATATCGAGAAAATGGAACTTGTTTTCTTTTTCATGTTCCATAGTGAAATGGATATTCGGATGTGCTTCGTTGAAAAACTCTAGCAGATTTATTGCATGTTGTTTATTATTACATACGATGAAGGTATCATCAACATATCTTCAGCTCTGTCAATTATAAAGTATTTAAATTGATTTATGTTATTAACGTCAAATGGGTTCGGGATAATCTGTTCTTTACTTGGGACGTAAATTGTACAATAATCCGTCCTTGATTTTGTGGAGAATACTAAACATTGCATGGTTACTTTTTTTGGATGGTTGTTCTAGATGAAATCAAATGCATCTCATCTTAATGATTCTGTAATGAATGAGAACTCAGGCGAGGAAATCCAATCTATTATTTAATGCAAAATTACGGTGCTTTGGTAAAATATGAAAACTATACATTAAATAATTCATTTGCACATCTTTCATCAATTGCTCTCTGGTTAAATTCCTGTTCTCTTCAGTTCGAACTTCTCAACCTTCTGTTGCCATGCCTTCTACTTCCGTTTGGTGTTACATACTACTTAGGTCGACAGGCATAAGTAGCATACAACATAATGCTTCCAAATTTACGCGTAGTGTTACTGCCTTAACTAAACTTGAAAGTTTGTGTGCTTACACCACTTTCTCGATTTAGTTAAACAGTCATTGTAAACCAAGTTGTTCTAAATAGCTATTTCATTGTAGTATGGCAGCTTCTTCACTAGTGTTCACTCAGAATTGTTATCGATCGAAAAGCTGTTGCTGTCGTGTGCACATATATGTGTTATTTTCTACAATCTCATACATCGTACTATATCAGTGGTCTAGAGTGTAAGCGTTCACACGAAACCGAAGGTCCTGGGTCCAACTCCCGGTTCCGGGATCGTGAATTAGCACTCCCGAAGAATCCCACACTATAACGAAACAACCGTTGAGTGTTCCCAGGTTTTCAATCGTTATCTAAATTAGATTGGTTCATGATTTCAATAAAATTACTATATAATTAAGTCATCACTGAATAAATTGTCTTCATCCTTTTTCCAAATAATATCATCATTATTATTATTAATTATTTCCGTAGGTGTACGTCAATTTTTCCATCTTATTCAACCAACAACACGTGCTCCTATTTCTGTATTTGATGCTAAAATAAAATTTCTATGCAAATTACTCAATGCTACTGAATTTCAACAATGTTTAATTTTTTCAAACTTTCATAATAAGTAAGAATTCAATTTTATTTAAGAAATTATTTCAATGTTTTTTTCCTCTACTCTATATCTAACATTTTATTCATTGTACTATGAAGTTCAGTTTGAAAAAATACAACCAAGAGAATTCTTTCAGTTAAAGAAGTTACGTTCATTTTTATGAAGAACGTAAAAGAGAGTTACAGAAGGATTATAACTGACTTCTATTTTGAGCTATGTTTGATAGTCTCTCTAGACATTGTGTTGTATCATCTATAGAACCCCAATCAGGAAGTGGTATAGGACCAACAGAAGTCAGTCCTGTACAGCTTTCTTTCATACCACGACGCCATGTCATACACTGATCATCTATCCGTCTTTTCCAGCCGGTCCCATCATCGACAATATGCACGATGTGGAATTCGCTGAGACGACATTCGCAAGATATGTCCAAGCCACCGAAGTATATGTTTTACGATATTGACACCAATTGAATTATCGTTACTGTGTCCGGACACACGATTCTGAACATCTGCATTACTAACATGGTGTTGCTACTGAATGTCAGTGATCCTTCAGAGACAACGATGATCAAATACAGAGAGTCGTCTAACATTCTTGACTCAGAGAGGCCAGATCTCACAAACATAAAGCAAACTTTCTCTCACCGACGCGTTATAGACCCGATGTTTTACAACTAGACTAATATCACGAAAGCGCAAAAGATGACCCAGATTGACATAAGCCGCTCTGTATTTCACTGTATGTGAATTGATCTCATCACTTAGACCACCGCCAGCATTTGCTCAGCCACTCAGGTACATGAACATCTCGACTACTTGTATCTGCTCAGTACGCGGGTTGAGCGCAGGCTCAAGGTTCTGCCAGTCTTGTAAAGTTACTTTGTTCTTGGAAGGTGCGAAGCACATACCATACCTATGAACGATAACTGCCAACTGATTAAGTGCGGATTGCATGACTTGTGTTTCATCCGCATACTCAATGTCAAAATGTCTTTCTTCACGCGACCGATCCACACCACCATTACCTTCATCCATCAGAGCTGTTTCCAAAACGTCATCAGTGGAAAAGTTGAAGAAGAATTGTGAGATGAGACAACCCTGCCTAACCCCACTGCTTGAATAGAACAGTGGAGAGAGGTGGCTGTATGCCATCACTTTGCCTGAATTGTTAGTGTATAGGGCTTCCAAGATGTTAAGCTTTTCAGGCACACCCTTCTTCAATGGAGATTCCCAAAGAACAGTCGTGTCCAACGAATCGAAGGCGGCCCTAATGTCAAGAAACAATACGATTGTTGGTCTGTGATAAGTATGACGGTGTTGTAACATTTGGTGGAGGGTGAAGAAATGATCAATACATCCTCAACCAGAACGAAAACCAGCCTTCATCTCGCGAGTCAATCTTTCTCGGGTTTTGAACAATCTACGAAGTATGACGGAAGCCAATGGTTTGGATGCAATCGAAAGTAGACTTATCCCCCAATAGTTGTTGCAGAAATAACATGAACCCTTTGTAATGATAAGAACAACTATCGACTCATTCCATGATGTTTGAACGCCCTCTAATTACCAAACATTTGCTAACAACTCAGTCAGTTTCATAATTGCACTACAATATTTGCATGTTTCAAGATAATGAATATAAACAGTTAGATTGAATGAGTTCCCGCACTCCATTTCAAATCGCTAGGATTATTTGAAATAATTCATTAGAATTTTCTTATTAAATAACTGCACTACAATCGTTATCTTAGAAATCGCTCATCTCTGCCAGCTCCCTCCAAAAATGCTTACAAAGCTTAGTCATCCTGATGACAACCTTCAGTTATGTGTAAAACAAAAGGTATACATTCCAATTTTAGATCGCAGAACTTATATAACCAAATTTCTTACTTTAACTTTGGTTCATACTAAAGATCTAAGTGTGAAATTGACAGCAGTTTAATTAACTCAGCTTACAAAAATTATGTTATAAATATGAATCCTGTTTAATTTACTAAAGTTCAAAATATCGGATATTGTCACCAACATTTATATAGTAATTGTTTGTGCGACTTAAAGTCTTCATGGTGTTACTAATTTTCAAGACTATATGAACTGAAATTTATTCTACCATCGACCACTGCTGCTACTACTAATTGTCACGGTATAAATCACAACTCTCATCTATTTGTTTTTTTTTTGGAAAAATCTTCTTACAGTGCTCAAGATTTATGTGATGCATTGTGTTCACGTGGTTGGCCAGTTAGTTATATATCTAGTAGTTTAGAACAACGTGAACGTTTTCGTGCATTCAATAAATTGCGTACATTCCAGTGTCGTGTACTTATTACCACAGATTTAGTAAGTATAATTTTATACTATTTTTTGTTTTCTTTTTGGTATCAGATAGTAAACAATAGGTTGGTTATGAATAATTCAGATATATAAGATTAGCACTATAAAATACATTATCATCGAATCGAGTGAGATGTAAACAAGTGAAAAGAAGAGAAAGAAAATAGCATAAATTTAATCCAGTAGACGCCGACTCAGTAGTTTAAAGGTTAAATACTTACCAATGTATAAATGGGTTGTTTTCTTTACTTTCATTTTTGATTGAATTGTGTAGAAACAATAGTTATTTACCACTGTAAATTGCACCAAACCATAAATCCTATGAATAATATGTAAATATCGATTCATAGGATATGACTTTATATGGTGAACACGAACCATATCCCCTTCACGGAACACAGGTTTTCTTACTGAATAATCAACTCTTGGAACTTGTTGTTCGGAGAAGTAATGTCTATGTTTCGATTAAAGAAAACAATAGATGCATAGTGATAGACATGTGTATTATTATTATTTATATTTCCCTTATGCTAGTGTTTGATTACTTGATTTATTTGTAAGTGTTATGATAATCTTCTTAACGTATCCCATTATCTATGAATATGCTAACACTGTTTATTGTGTGTGCCAAAATGATCTACGGCCCATGTAATATTTTAACCGTCTCCCCAAACTACCAATCAGAAAGTCAGGAAGAAACTAAACAAGTACTTTGTAATATTCTTTGTTGCTCCGACTTTTAAACTAGTGCGGTTATGTATATGAACTGCAAGACAGATCACCGTTAATAATAAATCTCTATATCTACATATCTAGAACATCTGTGGTACAAAACTGAGTAGCGGGATTTTGATTAATTAAGCATATTTTTGGACAGTAAACGATATAACAATAATTCGAGTCAAATAAAAGCTTACAATCGAAAGAATTTAGAATCGCCATAACTCACCTGTTTGATAAATATACTAGTGTATATATATATACTGAATTTTCAATGAACAACTTCCAAAGTTTCCCGTTTTCATCTATTCCACTAGCCTTGATAGTAAGCTGAAAAGCAAACCGACACATACTCGGCTATTTGGAGAATCGACAGTGTTTTTTATACCAATTAGTTCATTCTTCACCACATTATACATCCCTTTGCTATACATGCATGCTGATTACGTCCAGACTGAATTGATTAGTTAGCATCATCATTATCAAACTAGGAAGTATAATCATCTCAATTCATAAAACATTTCAGCCTTGATATTAATACTTTACTTTTAGACTTCGCGTGGGATCGATGCAGAAAATGTCAATCTTGTAATCAGTCTAGAAGTTCCCTGGGAGCATGAAACTTATGTACACCGAGTAGGACGTGCTGGTAGATTCGGTAATAATAATCTTTATTTCTGTCTTGCACTCATATATATGACCGTCATGATGTGTGTTACTGGTCGATTTTTCATTGTTGTTTTTTCTATCTTCCGAATTGCTGTAATATATTTCCTATTTTAATTAAGGGATTTATTTAGTTTAAGGAGAAATAGTATATTTGTAAAATCTCAGCGATGAAATTTGAAGTCCAACGCTTCGCCCAGCAATCTGGTTCAAGCTTTTTCTCCTTAATGTCTTACATTTACTCAGAGCCTAAATGCTATGAAAATATTCATTCAAATTTAGACGAAAGTTTTTATGTATTATTCTGCAGTTTTTTTAGTTTGTCCGAAATCCTATCAAATGTGTACAAATTAGAATTTACTATGATAATTACCACATTGCATGTATTTAATTCTTTCGAGATAGTAGATGTAACAATACGGATTGTTTATGGATCATGATACTATATGTGTAGAATTTAACATCTATAGCTTGACTATTTAGAGGTGGTCTACTTGCAAGCACTCATAAGTCGTTTAGACCCGTAAGAAAACAGATAATGTAAGCAAATGAACAACTTCTTGTTAAATGTATTATTAGGCCCATTTTTAAGGTGTACACATGGAGATTACAGGAATTATAGCACAATATACGATCGTAAATTGACCAAAGGTAAAAATGATTAATCTCGCCAAGTTTCTACGATCAAATTAGAATTCTCTATCAATCAATAATTATATCGGGCTACTGAGTGTAGTGTTCTCAATTTAGTAATAATTAACACCACTGTCACATGAACAAATTATTCGAAATAGTCTTGTATTCGATAGGTTATAGCTCTTCGAATAATATCTTCCATTCAGAATCCGCTTGCCATAAATTCTGACTGATCGCGGTATATGAACGTCCTAGGTTCGGTCCTTGGTGTGGTCGCGGTTATGTATCTCTTACCTATGTCATCGGTTGACTGTTGCGCTATATTGTGAAACAACTTACGCTTGAAGTATGTACAATTGAGTTTCAACCTGATGACTTGATGTTAATATATCCGCCACAATACTCAAATATTGTGCATTAGAACTCAAGCGGATTTGTAAGTGTTTACTGACAAAGAATCCTAATGTTAGACAATACAGATTTCCAGTACTTTCTAGTTTCTGATGGTTCATCAGTTTATTTCAATCCTCGGCTTATATCAATATTGTACAAATATCTTTTTTTGAAGTAACAAATAGTCTTCTGTCCTATTCAATCGCTTAATGTTTTTGTTGATAAGCTAACGTCTTGATTTTCTGAAAGTATTATTAACTGTACCAATAGTTCGAAATAATTTTAAGCATATTATTGATTAGTATCAAAATATTAACCTCCATTACTTTTTTTAGGAAGCTACGGAGCTTCTGTAGTTATTGTTTCAGATGTAGGCGATGAATGTGATCTATTAAAAAAGTTACAAGCTAACTGTCCAACACAAATTCGTGAATTACCCGGTAGGTTTATGTTACTGCTTTTTCTCTGTACTTTTCAAAATGCAATATGTGTCATATTTGATCATGCTATAAAGTACCTCTGAAGCACCAAACTCTATCCGGTCTTTTTTATCGAAATACTGACCAGGATGATTTTCCTTTCTAGCCAAAGATCATTTAAATAACTTTATACAGATTATGTTGGTAGAGTAAACATATAAAGTATGGAAAATAGTAATAAATAAAATATTTTGCCGAAACCAATTAATCCAAGGAAGAGTTAAGGATGTTATAGGTTTCTTATGAATAAAAAGACTTTGGTTGTTAGCTCGAATCCTTATAGCTTCTACTATAGGAAGATGATAAGTCACTTTAAATGACCTATATCTGTCTAATACGTGACCGCTACCGATCAATTATGATAGAACAGAGCTACGTTTTGACGATACCCTTTCCTAACCACAAAGAGAGGTGTTCACTAATTCGTTGGCTCAGTTTGCACCCATTATAGCCTTTTCCACAATAGCGGCTAAATTCGTAGGTACACATGGATGTGGAAAACTAGATAACATACCCTTTAGTTAAGTAACCACTACAGGTCGGCCAAAAAACTAAAGACAAAGGTTAGCTACATTAAAGGTCCTCTACACTGCTTTGTTCAGTCTATCTCATACTACATCACTAACTATAGCTTCAGGAAGAGGTTCTTTACTAACCATCAATGTGATTACTTTTCTGTTCATCATATCCAAATGTTTCGTCAGAAAAAATTTGTGGATAACCCGTTTCAATCAACATATTATGAATGAGCTCTAGTTCCTTTTTTTGGTGTCGTATGAGAATATCTTCCTCGCCCTATTCCTAAGGCATCTAACTAGATTTCTCTTGTAGTGAGTGAGTACAAAGCTCAAGAAATGTATGTATTGGCTTACCAAAGAACTTTTACTATACATACGTCTGCTGATACAACCATCTTTTTTCTGTTTAATTAAATGTTATTTGTTATCAAATTCGTTCTCATATGTAAATGTGATTGCTGAGTGCATATTGTTCAACTCCCTTGATTCGTTTTTTTTATCTTCATATATCCATATAAATATTATTGTAGATTAAAATAAAACCTGATAAGGATCTAATTGAAAACAATGTCATTGTTTATAAGCTTATGTAGTTTCGAATTATTCCGATAAAATTAATCCTTCCGTTTTTTTTAATTTTTAAGTTTCATATTTACAGTTCAACGTTCAGATTAACTCTTTTATACAGTTGAAACAGTAAAAATATTTGCATATAACCTCTCTTTTTTTTAAAAACAACGCAAACTTTTATTACAGATCCTATACCATCAGATTTGGCAACACCGAATTGTTCAATTGAATTGGATAATTTAGTGACAGTAACAAATCGTATGAATAATATTCAACCGCGTGCAGTTATGAAGACGACGACACCAAAAATTAAAAAAAGTCAAATGAATAATACTAATGAGAGTAAACTACACAATAATTCAATTCAATCATCAAATGAATTAACATCATTATTATTTAAACAAAATGAAGAGAATATGGAAAAGAAGAAATTAATTTCTACTAATTTATTAAATTCAAAAAAGAAACAAACGAAATCTATCACAAACAATGATCATTATCAATCAATAAATGATCAAAATGCTTTAATTGTACAGTTATCAAAATACATGGATATAATAGAATCGGAAGTAGGTCTCAAATGTGTACATACATATCATATATATATATATATATATATATATATATATATATAAATGAATGACATTTACAATTATTGCATAAATCTATCTGTTTAATTGTTTTCAGACAAACGTCTAGATTTGATTTGACCATCGAAACATCCTGACAATTTTTTTTTAATTAAAGTTAATAGTGGATAATATTGGAATATAGGATGTATGTTTATCTTGTTTGAGAATCATCAGCTGAATACATCACATCTCAGTGGAAACACCAACAATAGGATAAGTGTGCATTTAGTTGACGATTCTCAAACAGAATAGTACACGTGTCCCAAATCCTACACTTAGCCAATATTTAACTTAAGTAAAAACTTGTAATTAAATGACAATATCGAAGTAGTTCACTCAGGATACATATATTTCAATAAAAACTGGTTGATTCCAAATAATCATTAACACCAGCAGCTATGATGCCATAAAAACTGATTTCAAAAAAATGAACCTCTTGGTTTTCAATCATTTTTATTTCCTAGTGGAAACTATTTATATGAATACCAGTTTACTCTTTTCTACCGCTTTTTCATTAATTAGATCGATTCTGTATCACCATTGGGTACCACTATAACTTGGGAAAATAAATTTGCACAGAATGTGGATGAAATCGAAAAAATTCTTCCAAATTTACTCACTAGTTATCATAAAAATGGTATGCAGAATTCGACTAATTCAGAAATTTCAAAAGATGCAAACAGTGTTGATAACCAGTTTATTAACAATTCTAAAGCTAATCAACATCTTAATCGTCATGATCATCATGAAAGCGATATTAGTTATACTACTCCAGATGACGATAGTAATCACGACGATGCTGTGAATGATAAGAATATCAAACCGAAAAACTTCACATCATATTTTAAGAAGAATTCTCCCACAACAAATGATATTCACTGGACTTCTAGACAAATTTCAGCGTGGTATGAATATCATAAATTAGTCGACTATGCAAATTATTTTTATAACGAATGGTATTCTGCTATGCAAGAATATGATCAAGCTGTGGCCCATTTAAATCAATTGCGACAATTGCAACATTGTACAGACTAACAAAGAGAAGCTTTCAAATAATTCCTTTCAATGAACGTTCATTTTCAGTCCGAGACTAACTGTATATTTATTCGGTTTTTTAGAATCCTTCAATTGGTGAGGGGAATACTTTGTATATATATATATATATATATATATATATATATATATATATATATATATATATATATATATATATATATATATATATATATATATATATATATATATATATATATATATATGATGAAATAAAATTTAATGCTGAAAATAAATCAGTGTTCTTTCCAGTCATTATTAACCGATATTATGATAGTTGCTGTTGGTTTTAACATAATTAACACAATCCCACGTGTTTAGTTTTGGAAACCTGTTTGTTCCACTGAAAAATCCACGTTCAGAATTGTACACACAGTACGAGTCTACCAACAGTTTTAATTACATTCCTCTTATTAATACTAACAATGTTTGAACCTGAGCTGCACAACTACAAGATATAAATTGAATAAAATTTTACCACAATTTTGTTGTAAGATTTTCCATGTCAATAGATTCTAGACTGTAACATCGACTATTATCTAGTGAACAAGCCTGCACAGCAACGCGCACACATATAGGAAAAGAATTTACATTACAAACTGTTTAGTCGGTATGGTGAGATTTCCTGCCACTTTTTACACATTTGTAAGTCCTAAAGATCTAACCACACTTTCTCTGGTAGAAGCAGTCATAATCGTAATCTGCAACTAGGTTCCTTCTATAACATAACTCGAAACCAATCTTGATGCTATCGATATATTCATTCTTTTCCCTTCTCTAAATGCTGAATTAAGTAACTATTAATGAGAGCTCATGTTATCTGGCTTTTGTTACTATATGTTTACTCTTTCTTCAGACAATAACCTTGATGACACTTTTCTAAATCACATTTCTATAATGACCTTTGCTGTTTTCTAATTAGCCTGAATCGCTTCTAATTTGCTCTTATCCCCTCCAAGGTCATTGCAGGTTATTACATAAACTGACTCGTCCCTTTACAATTTTTGACTTCTGTTCAGAATATCAAGCTATTTTAAAAAGCCCGCTTTCTCTGTCTTATTGTGCAGATTATTAATCCTAAAGTCTTATTTTGTGTCAGGCACCCAATGCATTTATGTCTCTCTCGTTCGTAATCAGGGATTTACCTTAGGTCAACCAGAAACCTCAGTAGACATAATTGCTTTTTTCGTTTATTGATTTAACAGTAACATTCTGTAATTCTTAATCGTTACTCATGAACCACATTTCTTGTTTAGTTTACTGCTGTAAGTGATATTATTTCAAGTTCTTTAAAACCCATCCTGTTGATTTCCTCTTACACTGTTCTGATGTGCAGTATGGTAACTTGGGTCTATGCAAATATGTACCAAGTATTACACTGATTTATGGCCAACTAAATAGATCATTTGGATAACTTAATCGTCAGATTTTAAATACCTAATCCTACATTTAAGAATATCATGAAAGGTAGTCGTAACTGCTTGCAATCCCTGGAAGACATTATTTGCCTTATACATACATTTCACAGATCGAAATCATGAGTCAACTGAAGCTAGACCACCACGGAAAACCTGGAAGTACTGGACGGCCGTTTCGTCCCAGTGCGGGACTCCTCAGCAGTGCGCATCCACGACCCCGCCCCCGCGGGATTCGAACCCAGGACCTACTGGCTTCGCGCGCGAGCACTTAACCACTAGACCACTGAGCCGGCATCCAACGGTTTTAATGTCTAACTTCAACCAATTCACGAAGCTGCGCCACCGTACACCATTGTCTTCAGTGAGCTGAAATCTCACAACAGACGTGCTTGAACTCCACTGGTAACCTCTTCTCACTAGAACTCCTGAAGTCAGTCACTAGTGAGCAGTTGATTATTATCAGAAGGGGTTTATGGAGATTTTAGGAATTTCACAGATTGAAATGATGAGTCATTTTGATAGATTATTTATTCATTTTCAGCCTTACAAACAATTATCGCGTTAATTTATTGCGTACTTCGTTTGTCAAGTACTCATCTGAATACCAAACATTGAGCCAAAATTTAGTTTCGGGACGTAGTGATGCTACTCAGTTGCTCAAACAAAACAGATGAAGAGAGTTTTAAAACTGAGACTTATCAGTTGGAGCTCGATTACTTTAGTCTTATTACTAGATGAATATAGTGGAACAATCTAACAAAAATGTTTACGTTCCAATTCACTTTAACATGAAAACACAAATCCACTCCAAACTTAAATGATGGCTTTACAGACGTGTAAAACCTAAGAGCGACTCCGCTCCACAGTCTCTGATCTAATATATTTCAGTTATATATACTTATAAGTAGATACTTGAGATAACGCGACCAAATGCTGAAAAAACCCACAGTGATGATTGATTATACAGCATTTTAACACGGGGAATCTCCAGCCACATAGAAGAAGTAGGTAGAATAGGATCATTTCACATTCACTTCTCAAATACTATGGAAATCTTTACGAATATCACCGAAAAAAGACGTTAGATTTACCTAAAGCCCAAGAAAAAGTAACCAAACAACATAAATGATATATTTTCCTAACAAACTTTTACTACTAACAATTATTCAGTAGAAAGACAAGATAACAGAAAGCGGTAAAACTAGGATGGGATTACGTCCAATTCCCAGATTTTATAACAGGTTTCAGTCCATCTAACTGATAAAACTGGACTACTAACCCTAAAAAATTCGGGGGTTAGTCCATCAGCACCGGCATCTCTCCCTCGCTTTAGACTACTTATATCTCTGTCGACCACACTAACAGTTTGAGGACTTACATCTGTTTGATGATCAGGATTGAGTGAATCAGTTAGCTGCAACGTAGAACCAGGAACATATTATCCATCGGTCTAAGTTGCTACATTTTATTTACACAAGATGAACACCAAACTCATATCAGTTACTTCAATGGTATTAATATGTAAAAGAAAGATTTTAGCTAATGTTAGTCAACCTAATCGCTGATATTGGCCCACCATGCCTAAAGACCTCTGAAGCCAATCCATATGGACCAGCTAATCTTCCTCGTTTCAGATTAACTATAGCCTTTCGAACTTCAGAAAGCCGACCTACTTCAATGTTCTATTCAGGCTGTCTAAGAATGGTGGGTTGTTGTAGAGTAGCTGAACTGCTCCTTAAAGCGTTCCGCCCATCGTTTCCCGACAGTTGCTGCTACCACAACGTGATGGTCGAGCTTGCCTATCGTAATAAACCAATCGAGCTATACTGGCTGAACGTCTGGGCTGAAGGCAGATAAGAGTGTACTCTTTTCCTGAGACCGTCCTACTTACACATGTCTTCTTAACTCCAGTTTCTTTTACTAGTCTAGAAAACTGTCTGGTGTTACCTACAAACGCTGCCTTTTCCATCTCTTTTGCTTTCATTGCCCATTACTGCTTACGATCGTCTTGTAGACTCTTGGTTAGCTTACATTTCTTTGTTTCTGCGCTTCATTGTATTCGGAGCCTGATGTGAAAAGTTTATGAGAGTGTATCAGTTTATTTGATGTCGCAGAAAGCCATTGGTTTTCCGCATCCTCTGGTTTAAATCACTAATAGAAAATTGGGTTAGAGGTGGTGATGGTTACTTAAGAGTGTGACCGCAATGCTTGACGTCGGTCACACACGACAGTTTTGTATTTTTCGTGCTAGCTCCGTACTTGTAGATACCGTACCGTCAGAGACCAATGAACTTCTTTATGTGCATATCGTCATATTTTTTAAATAAAACACTTTTAATCAAGTAATCAGAATTCCGTGCTAATGTATTTCAAATTCTTTTCGTCGGAGTTTTCGTTTCGACGTGCCCCTACAGCCTTTTCTGTGTAACTCACACACGTTTACAAGATGTTCTTTTTAAACACGCACTCATGTTTTTTCTTCTTTAGTTTCGAGCTCGATAGGAAAAGAAGATCAGAACTTTAGAATAAACACAGCAATCACACACTTCTAACTTATTTAGACGGGTACAAGTTAATGATCGTACAGCTGCGAATTCAGTCCTCTACCTAAAACTAGGGAATCTGAAATTTAATAATTCCAAGAAGTGATTGGTTTTCAGCACCATACAATTAGGTCATAAATAAGAATATGTGTTTACATTGACAATGAGCGTCGGAGACACACATGTTGCAAATGCAGTGAACAATAACAGATTTGAAATAATCTTATCAATAATATTGAAGACAAAATCTTTGGTGAAATGGTACGGTAGATATATGAATATTAGTGATTATCCGAACGTATAGTTTGGGCGCCGAGTGTAGAGAAAACGCAATCCGTGAAAATTATGTATGACATAACTCCAGAGACCGATATCAAAATCTGAGTACGATTAGATAAGCATCCAGTACATATTTAATTTGTTTGCTAGACGTTATCTATTCTTTTACAACTTTGATTTTGACCACCAATTACCCTGAACAATTCCAGACAAGTTTGATGGACGAAACATTGAGATTACTTTAAATATAATTTTCATAAATACGGTATGGAACTTCTTAACGTCCTTATGGTAAATATTTCGTATTAAACATGGTATTAGAGAAATCTTTCGTCAAGCAAACCGTAAGAACACAAGTATATATTGCATATCCTCAAAATAAGTAAAAATAATCTCAAGGGTTCATCAACTAGATGCATAATCCCACTGATCCAGACCGTTAACGATACCTCACAATCTTCATAAATCCTCACCATAACATTTCACATAAGACTTAGCTGTCAAATAGACAGTTTTACGTGACTTTGTTTATTTACATATTGCTGACTACTTTTTGTTCATTCAATTCATTGGCGATCATGTATTTTTCAATAAACTTTGGAAAATAATTGATCATTGACAATATATCTGAGGATTTTCTCCAGCTTCAAAATTCTCGTATAAAAAGCAACCAAGCAGCAGTTATAGGAAAAATCCATAGACTCAAAGCTACAACTTACAAAAACCTAAATGAAGGCAAATGGTTTGTATTAATATGTAAATTGTAGGATATGACTCAAGTCTATACAA